GCCATGCAGGCGGCAGATACGGTGCGGAGGTATGACGTCTGGCCATCCTCCTTAGGGCCCCCAACACACACCGGTAGTTAAAGATCTCCAGGCCGCTTTCTGGCTCCACAGTGCGCTCTACACACCCCGATGTCACAGCCGCCATCACCCTGTCGTACAGCTCCGCGTACGGCAACGTCCGTGCGGGGTGCAGCTCAGGCGGCGCTAACAGACGTGTCAACGGTGCAGTACAGGCCGCAGATGTCGTGCAGCTACTGCTGCTGCGGCCACCTCTTTCACCTCCACCATCAGCAGCAACAGCAGCAGCAGCAGTAGCAGACACCCCCCGTTCCTCGTGAAGGTGCGTAAGAAGCGAGGCCAGGGATAGGTCCCCCGAGCCCGCCTTTAGAGCCTCGATTGCCCGCTGGGAGTTGCCGTACACCTTGTCCCAGCGGACAGACACTGGCATGATTAACCGGCTGACGCGATCGCGCTCAGGTCTTTGCTGCCATAAGCACTCGTAAACCAACTCCTTGCAGCCGCGCCATGCCAGGTTTTCCATAGATAGGTCACTGCCGATTATGTCGACGGCAACACTGCCCTGGGGCTGCCACTTGTACAGCAGCTCGGCCATGCCGAGCACGTACGGCATGCTGTATGGTGTGAAAACCAGACCGTCGGTCGGGTATGGACAGGTGCTACCGCGGCCCAGATCCCGCAAGGCTTCGTACGACACCGGTACGTGGCGCTTACGAAGGATGGTTAGCGTGTCAGAGCCTAGCGGCGCGGCTTGCTGCTTCTTGAGCAGGAGTCGCGGTGGGTTTCCGCTGTCGATGGCGGCCGCGCTGGCTAAGTAGGATCGCGATTTAGCTGTAGCAGTTGCGATGGCTGCAGCATTTAAAGCGGTAGCAGCAGCTGCAGTACTGGCTGCAGCTGCAGCTGCCTGCTGTAACGCCAACGACTCCTCGGCCTCCGTCAGCCCCAACCGCTGCTCCAGGGCTGCCAGCCGCTCCCTCAGCGGCAGCTGCCACAGCGGCTCACCGCCCACACATAGCGCATCAAAGGCCAGGAAGAAGCCGCGACCGCCCAGCCACACAAGCTCACCATCCAGCACTGATCCGGGCAGTAAAGCTGGGCCAGGCGACTGCAACGATGGGGAACGTGTGCTGGCTGCGCCTGGAGCAGCAGCAGCAGCAACCCTGGCGCCGCCGTTGATTGATGTCATGGCAGGGAATGCATACAATGCACCCGCCCTGTTTAGGAGATATACGACAGATGCCTCTGCTGATGCTGTCGTACCACAGGGCCCGCCGCTGGCCCCTTCACTGCCCCCGCCCTCACCGACACCATCATCGCCGGCCGGACCGCCGACACTGCCGTCACCACAACTACAATGGACTGCCGCGGCCCCAGGCTCCTCCTTCAATACCGCCGTTTTCAGCTGCTGTTCCGGCCTCGGTAATGGCGGCTGCGGCTGCGGCGGCTTCACCGCCAGCAGCAGGTGCCTCGTGCCATCACATTTGCGGGACACTGAATAGCGACCCGGCCAGCTGACCCACCGCACATCCTCGGCTGTGGACACGGAGGCTGTCGGCACCGACAACGACGGTGCACTGAAGACCTTATCACCATCGCGAAAGTCGCTGTCAAAAACACGCAGTCCTCCAGACACGGACCTCGCCTCTGCTAGCACCCAGTTCCGCTCCTCTGCACTGGTGACCAGTCGCCGCGAGGTGACGCACTCCAGGGGGTTGACTTCCAGATCCCACGGTAGCTGCCAACCTGTGACCCGCAGCCACTCGGGGGGCTCTGTAGCGGTACAGGCTGCTGTAAGACTGGCTCGGAGGAAATCCGTGCCTCGTTGCCTTACCGAGTGGCCTGGACTGTTGGCGCCGATAGCATATGTGGGTCCAGCCCTGTAGCCCAGCTCTGCTAGCCCGGCTTTGCCGCACCCAGCGCTGGATACCTCCGTGAGGACACCCAGGGCGGAGAAGAACTCGATGACGCGGCCCGCGTTGGCGACCCACTTGCCCTGCCGCTCCGCCACACACCGCTCCTTGTCTCGCTGGGCTGAACCCTGCTTTTTCCTGGCGGAGCGGGGCATGAAGCTACGCAGGATGGTGTTGCCTACTATGCACCCGGGCAGGTACAGCGCCTGCAGCACCGGTGTGGGAGGCCGCCGTCAGGGGAGCGGGCTGTAGTACAACATGCTGTAGTAAAAGGTAGTGGGAGTGAGCTCCGCAATGGTGACGGTGCCAGTCGTCGAGACAGAGGAGACTATTGCCCTGGAATCACCAGTAACCAGGAAAGGTGTTCGAGGGCGGCAGTTAGGCTGTTTCATTAACCAAGTAACGGCAGGTCTACGGCTGGAGGAACATAATCTTGCAAACACTCCGCTTGCAAGCACGCCGCACTTGATACCCACATGTTTTCTCAATCCCACCCGTAATCTCGTGCAAGCGCCGCCCCGGATTAAAGAATCTGCTCGCTCATTGCCATCGCCATTGTGGATTGAGATGGGGTGTCCAAGGCCATGACCAAAGCCTGCCTCAATGCCTCAATGCCCCAATGCCCCAATGCAAGGGTAGTGATGTCCCAATCCTAAACCCAGTCACAGCAACCCCGACCCCTCCCTCCGACCCCGACCCCCCGTACACCCCACCTGTAACAGCGGCACGTCAGCCTCCCGCAGTAGCTTCAACACAGTGAACGCGTCCTCCACCTCTTTAACGGCCTCCAGGACCAATATCGGAGCCGCCGCGCGATGAAGAGCAGTGGAGGGACCAGGCCTGGGCCGGCATCGAAGAGGGCCCGAGTAATTGATCAACCACACACACACACACAACATAAGCAGCTCAAGAAGCTTTACTGCTTGTGCACGTCTATTTCATGAACCAGGCGCATGTGAGGCAAAACACCGACGGTTTCTGACCTGGCGCTGCTGGCCGCAGCCCACTCGGCGATTTCCCGCTGCAGCAGCTCCCTCGCCAGCCGCCGTACCTCCCGCTGTACCTCCGCTCCGGGCCTCTGCCGGGCGCCCACAAGGCCCTTGGCACGGAGCTCATCCCCCACGGACAGGAAGCGGGTTGTTGTGGGATGGCGGCGTTGCAGGTAGCGGCCGAGGGTTGACTTGCCCACACCCGGCGCACCAAGCAGTAGGACCACACCGCCGCGCGTCGGAGTGTCCATCAATGCAATATATTCTTATTAGGCAGGTTGGCCCCGCAACGGCTGAGGGTGAGCTTGGTCGGCTAGATCCTAGATGTACAAGATACATACATCAATGCCCACTTCACAAGTCAGACTCGGAGGTTATTTTAAACCATGGAGCGCTGTCATGCGAAGGCAGATGGCTGCCACCGCAGGTGGGGCGGGACCATACATGCAACTGACGAGCCGTATGGAGCGTGATCGCGGTTAGGCGGCAGGACCGAGGGCTGTCGGTCGAGGTCGAATAAGCTAATTAAGACACCCTAGACCGGATGATGGGAGATGAGCTAGGCACGTAGACAGGACTTGCGGCGTTTATGGGACGTAAGCAGCTTTGTGTGAGACCCTAAGAGCACATCCCGGACACGTGCACGAGGTCTGGGCAGTGTTGTCGACAAGGTTACCTGGGGATGGATATATTCCACGAGTGCAACAACCCTCAGATCTGACACCCTTTGATTCTTGAGATCACTGAAGGCTATGCGGCTTTGTGGCCTAGGTTGTTGTGCCAGTTGTCATCGGATGGCCTGTCGGGCCCTGTCACGGGTGCAATTGCCTCGGGAGTTGGGCCAACCGCACATTCCGGATTTGAAACAATGGTCCCGTCATTATTAATCGCAGTATCTCCGGGTAGAGATCTGGATTATTGGTCCATCTACCCCCTTAGCGCGATACGGCAAACAGTTGCAGGCGCGGGGTGCTTCGCGTGATCAGTTCGTTCCACTTCGATGTCCAAGGCATTTAGGAGGTGTCGGTCTTATCGAATATGTACATCGATTTTTACACTGGAGCCCTGAAAGGGCATTCAAAGCGGCTCCTTCCACCAGCAGCTAGGTGCTGGTTCCGGTTCCTTTGCGCCGCTTCGAGCGCAATACTTCCACGCGCTGCCATAACTGGGCTTAGGCGTAGGTCCAACACACGACGTGATGTTTGAATTGTAAGGTGCTTCGAGGCAGACTGCCTCGAGGTGCACGGGAGTTCGTGATGTGATGTGACCCGCGGATCAATCCACAGGAACGTGGTTGCAGCCGGACCAGGCCTGCGTAGGATGTCGATGTGGATGTCGATGTGGATGTCGATGTGGATGTTGATGGCTCATGATGAGCAGCACTTCCCGCCCTATGTTTTGGGTCTGCTGTTTGCTGCTCAGCACCATGACCCATCCAAAGCGTCGCACGTGCCCCAACCCGTCGTCTGCAAGATGGGAGGCCACTACTAACACATCACTCGCCGCCATCAGATGCACGTGGTCAAGTATAAGATTCAAGGTCAAACACGGGCCGGTGGCACTAAGGGCATTTAATGGATACCCTAGGTGGCGCCCGCGTCGCCTAAGAGGAGAATTTACAAAGAATCCAGATAGCTCTGACTCAGGGTTACAGCAGTGTCAATAACCCACACGCAGACGTCACCTGCTACGGAGATAGCAACGCGCAGGAGCCTCGCTTCCCTGTGAAAGTTGAAGTCCGATTTTCAATGGTTGCCGTACAGGCGCACTGCCTTCTTGATGTGCCCTGGGAGCCGCAGTAAAGTTTTCCCCCGGCTAATTGAGACGTCTCCACAGATCAACAGGGATAGCAACAAACACCAAACCCGCATTCCATTTCTGTACTTTGCGAAATGGCGTTGCCAGACACCGAAGCAGCCGTGATGATGTGTAAAGCAATTCCCAGTGGAGCACAAGTACACGATATCCATTGCACGTCACATTTACTCCACGTCCTCTGCGCCAGGGTTTCTGTGCCATCGTTCCAACAGCTCCTGGGTTTCTCCGAGCCATCTCCCTGAAGTCAAATGCTGGTCAATGACTCAAATGCTGGTCGAAATGGGAGTTACATGTTACAATTGCCGCACGAGTGCGGGGGGGTTCCGTCAAGGCCGGGAGGCCATGGACTATATATATTGAAAGTTGATTTCACCGTACATGGTCCGGTTACGTAGCCTCACCTCATCCAGTCACCCGACATCCGTAGAGACAGATCAGCCATAACCACCAACCTAGCATGTGAAACTTTGTCCATCAACTAGACCTCATCTCATCACCTCAGCAGTGATTTCTAAATGAATTTCATCCGATTAATGTCGGGGAACTGACCAGGAATCGAACCCTAATCAACAACTACTGTACATGTGGCTCTATATCCGGCCACGTCATCAGGCTGCTCCTCGGCTAACTGCGGCGGAAGAGCAGTACAGGATCGCCGTTTGGAGGTCAGGCGCCGGGGGGGGAGGTACAGGTGGGAAGGTAGGGAAGGGACAGACAGGCAGGAGGAGCGGGGATAAGAAGGCGAGCATGTTTCCTTAGGAGTCATGAAACGCGTGTTATCGGGCGGGGCGCATGTAGGCGGAGATGGGTGCGGTAGCCCTGTGTAAGAGACGCGAATACTCTTTGCGCCAACTTGAATAAAAAACTGGGTTATGAAAGCTGTTATGAGGAGGCGCAAGTTGCCATGCAACTCTAATTCCTCTGCTCCCGGGGTTTGCAGAGGGCTGCGAGGGAATCGCTGTGATGCTGCTGGCCGCGGGGCTGTGGCCGCTACCACCTGCGGAACCCAAATCAAGCATCATAAGGAGGCATCAGCGTATATGCCGCCGTCAACTCCTAATATATAGTAGCGCTGTTAGGCTTAAGATTATTTTAGGATTGCATGTGCTAGAGTAGTGCGGGCTGCAGCTGGCCGGGGCCCACAGGCAAGTGCACGTGATGTCAGCCATTGCAAAAGTCACGTAAGTGCGGGTTAGACTGGTGGAACAACGGCACACGCTGGGCCTTGGAGATCCGAAGCCAACCAGGTTAAAGCTAATTGCGATATGACCCGATGTACACAACCTGCATGTTCCTGACCTGACCTGACACGACACGACCTGCGCTGTGGTGAGAGCAGTACTACTCAGCTTCGGCCATGTCAACTGCCAGACGTCGCCAAGAGAAAAATCGTTCATCAAGTCGATGCGTTCTCTAGGCATGCCATGCAATTTGCGTAGTAAAAAGGGGCGGTTATTCGTACTTACTCCCCGTACATTCTTGGTCGCATCCTCGATGGTCGGTCGGTCCCAGACGGACAGCCGTTGCGACGCCGTCGGCGTACGGCGGTGCCTGCCTCGAAATGCTGCTTAGGGTGTAGCTTAGTGATCCGCTTAGACAAGAAGCGGCTGTTGCCGACGAGGTAGAAATTCTGAGTTCTGTCACAGTGCCGCCCGCGTCTCCTTTTGTACTGCACCTTTTCCCAGGCGACCTCACCTCACCCGGCAAAATCCTGCTTTTCTCATCGCTTTTTGTCAGCCTTGCCAACCCTTCGCTTGCAAGCTACGGCAGCCAGAAAGAGGAGCTGCACTACGCAAGAAGCTCTCACTCAAAGCTTAAGCCTTCAGAATCGTTTTTTCAAGCTGCCAGGCAGACATCTGCGTGCGACGTGCGAATAGGATTCCTGAGTCCGGGTGTTAGGCTACTCGCCACGACGGCTCCACCACATAATCTCCGCGGTGCGGCTTTGCAGCTACACACGGTTTCATTTGGTTGCGTGGGGAGGTTTGCGGGAGTGCAGGGGAGCGGGAAGAGGGAAGGGGGAAGAGGGAGGGCAGGTGGTTGTCAAGCACACAGCCGTGGTCCATTTTGCTGAGTTCGGTGGCATTGGCTGGAGAAATGCTTCCCCTGCCCCTAGCGTTGACGATGCTTGCGGCGTCAGTCTTCATCCTCACCACGTCCAGCCATCTGGCCGTCACGGCAGCGCTACGGCGCCAGGAACATGACCAGCAGCAACAACAGCGACAGCAACAGCTGCAACAGCTACAAAGGGAGCGTCAACGGGAAGTAGCGTCGGTGGCATCGGCCGCGACAGCATCAGCACCACCAGCACCAGCACCAGCACCAGTAGTAGTACCCACACCAACAGAAGGGCAGTACGAGTACCTCGAGAGGCGAGCGCAGCATCTCTCGCTCCTAGAGCAGCTGCAGCGGCAACGCGCCAGATCCGTTGATGCTGGTCCATACATGTACCACAGCGCTGCGGCTGGAGCAGCATCAACAGCAGCAGCACCGCAGCCTGGGCCGTCTTGGTTTCGGGACGCTGCGGCCGCTGCATGGTCAGCCGCGGGGTTGGTGGCGGCGGCGCCGCCGCCGCCGCCGCCATTATCATCGGGTGATGGCGGCAATCACGGTGGGCGTGCCAAGAGTTACAGCGGCAGCGGGTGGCGCCTTTCATTGAGGAGTGCTTTCGGTAACCATAGTAGAACATTTCGTCGGATGCTCCGTGGCATGATAGGTATATCGCATCTATGGGCAAACCCGCAGTACGGTGGTGGTGGCGCCGCTCAGTGGCGGGTTTCGGAGCCCACAACTGCCGCCGGCAAAAACAACAATGCAGGTCCTGTATTCATAACCTTGGAGCGCTTCGGTAACGACCTGTCGACAACAGAGTACCCTGCTGCTGCCGGTACCGTCATTACCATGAGTGACGCGGGTTCTGCTGCTGCCGCCGCCGCCGCATCTGCCACTATCACCGCCGCCACCGCCGTCGTAATCCCGATCACCAACATATCGACTGAGGCGAATAAAGGCGAAGGAGGAGCTGCAGGCGCTGTTATGGCCGCTGAAAATGGAGAGGACAGCCTTAAGGAGCATCCATACCTCAACATGTACGACGGACATGCCGTACAATCAGTCTGGGCGTACCCGGCGGAACAAGACGATAAGGCCATTGGCGGCGTGAGTCGGCTGCGCGGTACATCTAGTCCCGCGGGTCATGAAGGTCAGGCACAAGGACGTGGTTGCACGGCACATACCAGCGGCGGGGTCGACGGTGAGGTCACATTGGGCAAGTCCGGTGAGGTACTTCACGACGTGTACGACGATACGGCCATCGTAAATTCGTGCGATGATTATGACATCCCCGCTGACCTGTATCACGAGCTGTATCTGAACGGCAACGGTCAAGAGGACTTTAACTCCAGCAGTCAGACACGCCTCACCTCTTGACTACGAAGAAGAAAAGCTGCGTTATGGGGCGCCAGGTTGACGGTTCCAAATGCCGCGGCTGTTTGCATCACCGTACCACACCACCTCACCACCTCCATACCTAGGATCATGTCGCGCGTTCTTGCGGCCTCAAGTCGCCCTATCCCGAATAGCCGATTCCTTTCCTGCTGTCTGCCTAAACCTGCCATTGCGCCCGGTATGTGCCATTTTATGTCCTTCGAATGTTCGCCATGTTGATGTTGTTACAGGGTGGTACAGCTCACCATGTTGTAATGTTTTAACAGCAAAACAAGGGGTCCTGAAATTCCAAACGAAACTGTTTGTGCTTGGGGCCGTTTGTGGTACGTGCGTATGTACCATTGCTTGTGTGCATGTGTGTTACATATCGATCCAGGCCTGGCGCTGGCTAGGGCCGCTGTCGCGTCATGTGGCTGTAGCATCGACAAAACATGTGTGTACGGCAGACACTAATGAAACTATCCGGTCTAATCTGACTATCCGGTCTATCCTGACCATTAGGACTTTCTATTTGGAACCGTGTAACGTCCGTTGAGCTAGACAACAAGCCCTGTGCGGTCGTCTATTTCTCTCCGCCGCATACGTACACCCCATTCAGCCAGCCGGACTCCTGTGTAGACCACGCAAGGTCCATAACCTTTACACCGGGCATACTTAGTCGGTGAGGTAAACACTTGTCGCTGTTGTTTATAGCCTGGAGGGAACTCTGGCCCCTTTTCGCAGGTTGCCAATTGATCTTTGTATTACCCGTAGCTAGTCTGCACTGGTCTGCAGACCACCTTACACCACACAGCCATAAAGCCTAATCTATATGCACGCCATGCAACATGCACTTTGGGAACCCAAATATGGTGAACGTCAGCAGGGTCAGCGCCAAACCATTCACCACAGCTGCAGACCGAGTGAATGATGTTGCAATCCTGCTTACTTCGCGGCAGGAACACCCTAAACCCAAACTCTTAAGAGAAAGCCAACCTGGAAGGACCAGGACGGCTTTGGAAACATAACCAGCGCCTTGAATGACGTATTTGCCATCATCATCATCACACCCTCCATGTTGACTAACATTATCGTATGAGGACCGTCTCGTCCCGATATGACACACATTACAACCATATTGCGCATCCTGTACCACATAGATATGTACCGTACCCTTCTGCTGAGCCAGTGGGCCTGCTTTTAATAAAATCTGTCTGTCTGTATGGTATATAACCAGCGTGTCACAGGCAAGGTCACAAAGCGTCTCCCACTTCTGTCTTTCGCTCTATTGGCTGGCGTAAAGGTTACGACAGATGCCAGGAAACGAGAGCGCCAAGCACTCCCGCGTTAACATCGCCAATGACCATAAAAGCCCAACAGCCCCATAGCACCTTTCCCACGACGACGTAATTTACGCCACTCACGTAAGCCATCTGGGATTCATTATAACGTGGGCGTCGTGACCGTTAGCGTAAAGCCCACGTTTCAATACCTTACGGTTGGTCTGTTAGCACTATATTCCGTGCGGTAGGACGCTAAATAATAGCTCTCCTTGTGTGTGCGCTTTCTGATATCTTTTCTCACAGCATTCGGCACCCTGGCTCTTGGGCCTTATCAGGGCTGCCGTACGGCTCCGTGAAATCTTGGGAGAATGACGCAACCCCAGAACACACACACACACACACACACCCTCCCCCGGTGGGTGGTTCTCATGTCAGGTGTCGCTGCCCTCCCAACGCAACACATTTTGTGTAAAACACGCAGGACACCATGTAAAATGCCAAACAATATGCCGGCGATGCTTTTAAACCAGTACTAATACCCCGCCATGGCCGTACCAGCGAACCCCTCTGTCCGCCCCTCGCCTCCCCATCCCCTTCCTTCCCCCTTTGTGATGCCACCTCGGATTCCAGTCCAGTCACATGGCCTTCAAATGGGAAATCCAGTCGCAGTCGCAGTCGCAGCTTTCGCGGGGCTGCAAACCACATCAGGCGGGCGGGTAACGGGGCTCCCTAGGGACCTCCACCTCCACCTCCAACCCCACCTCCACCGCCGCACACCACCACCGTCGTCATCACTGGCTCACTACCCCGCCCCCCTGTCACCCTACCTAACCCCAAAGCTCACAGTGCCAAATCCCCACTCACTCACTCATATGCCACATCCCTAATCCAGAAGCCAGGGAGACCGGGACGGTCTCTCCGCTGTCTGGATCCTGGAGACCTCCTGGCCACGTCATCGATCAACCTCCAAGCGGTACCATCCCGCTGTAACGCCTGCTCCCGCCCCGTCTCAACCCCACCTGGCCGCAGCCGATAACCATTCCCCCATCCTCGTCCTCGTCCTGCTGCTCACAGAACCCTAACCACCCTCCCATCCTCCCTCCTTCCCCTCCCTCATCACCGCTTAGAACTCCCTCTCTAGGGGCAGGGCAGTTTCTTCGGACCTCTTGGACACCACCGGCAAAGTTCACTTCTCTCACTTCCTCACGCATGTTGTGTTTCCCCTCCCCACGGTCCTCTTCTCCCCCCCCTCCCCCCTCCCTCCCTCAGCTGATCCATTCGGATTGTGAGAAGGTTGCCCCCACGCATGGCGCCACAAGCAGCGGGGGAGAAGAGTACATAACACAGCCCATCGAGACTCCGGATCGGATTTCAGCCGGACTAGGACTCCGGGTCTTTGTCGTCGTCGTCATCTATCGCGCCGCCTTCTGCCACCACCGCAGCCAACCCCGCAAAGGGCTGCCGCTGGCGGCCCGGCTGCGAGCTACCCGCGCTGTGGCGCTGTAGCGACGCTGCGGCCGAAGCGCCCAGCGCTGCCACCGCACATACCGCCGTGCCGATGCTGGCACCCGCGGTTTTCTCCTGCGAGACATCACCACCACAACCAACAACCACCGCCACCGCCACTATTAAAAACATATTTGCCAATAAAGACGGGAAGAGTAACAGTACCGCGACAGCCGTAGATTTAGCAGACGCAGCCCCGGGCCGGGTCATCAGGTCAGGTCACCCAGGTGGATGGTAGTGGGTGCGTCCACAAAGACGGAGGCACGGACAACCACACACGCCTACATGCAAGCAGCCTTTCGACAAACCTCGACAAACAACCTGCCGAATAAACCTTGGTGGTGAGGTGCGCGTGCGCCCTTCATGTCATGCACCACCCGACGTATCACACACCCACCCCACATCGCCACTCACCGTCAGGTTGAACGCCACCGCCCCCATCAGCGCCCCCCACCGCAGCCCCGCCTTGGCCGTTCCGCTGAGGCGCTCATGCAGCAGCAGCTGGCTCCAAGTGATCCCCACATGCGCCACACAGGACAACAGCATCAGCTTCACGGCGGGGACTGACAGCTCGTGGTCGATCTGGACGGGAGGGGCCGGGACGGGACGGGGGGGGGGAGGAGTTGCGATTGGGGCAACACAAGTCGATTTGCAAGTTAGAGAGCGATGCAAAAGGTCGCCACTGGAGAGGGAAATCAGAACTGCGAGGAAATCAGAAATGAACTGCCGGTTTTTTTCTTTAAAAAAAACAAGTCCTGTTAGCGCCATTGTGGGGTTCCAGGGGGGACGGAGGCCGCGGGAATGATCCCACCGTGCACCGTCCTTAACAGGGGCGTTCAGGAGCCCGGGAGGTCAAAGGAAGCGCCGGAAGACGACGACCAACACCGTCGCAGCTCCGCAGACAACTCATGTGTCGTGCACTTCCAGCATTTAGTACCTTACTGAGCGCGCAAAGGTACCGCCACCGCCCTGGGAGCTCAGCCCTGAGCCCCCCCTCCCTCCCTCCCTCCCTCCCTCTCCCTACCGCATGTCCCCAGGGGCCACCCACCCAACACACTCTCACGCCCCTCGCCACTCACGCCCCTCGCCACTCACAATTTCGTTGCCCTCCTGACCCAGGAATCCGATCATCAGCACCGGCAGTGCGGGCAGCCAGTTGATCAGCAGGGCCGTGGAGGGCGGGTTGAGGGAGCCCTCAGCGTCCGAAAGCCGCCGGATGAGGGCGGCTAGGTGGCCAAAGTCTGAGGAGGGACGGGACGCAAGGAAGGGAGGGAAAGACGAACCACGAACGAGTGAAGCTGCTGCCAGGGCAAGAGTGTACCAGACGTAGAACTTATCAAAAGGCGTTCTTGAAGGCGGCGACCAGGAAGGGGGGCGGAAAGGCAGTCAGTCGAACAGGCGACAGGAAGGGGGGCGGAAAGGCAGTCGAACAGGCGACAGGAAGGAGAGGCTCTCCCCTCTTCTCCATGACGCCAGCGGTTCATCTTTCAATCCCCTTTTCCATGATTTAATCCCTGAACCCGCTCCCGTCTCCCTCCTTCCCACCCCTCCTCTCGGCCTCAGTCCCGCCGCCGGCCCCGCACCTCCCCCTGGCAGCTTCCCCCCAAGCGACGGGTCCTCCTTCACAAGCCGCCAGCCCGTCTCAGCCAGCTTGGCGGCCGACCAGAGCACCAGCATCAGCAGCGACAACCAGGACAGCGTGTGATCCAAAATGACCTCCAGAGCTGCGCAAGGAGACAGAACAGGGCAGGAAACCGGCAAGGACACAAACACACATACAGACTTACTTGCACATACATTTAAGAGGTGCGGGTGGGTACTTGCGTTAGATGATGTCGGATCGGCACTCGTGCGCCGACACATTTTTACGGGGTGGGTTAGGTGGCCCGCATTCGCTCATTCCTGGTGCGCGTGCGCACGTGTCCACATCCACATAGCCGCAAGTTCTCCTCATCCCATCCCCCGACCCGACCCCACCCGATCCAAAACACGATCCGGTTCTGTCCCGACGCCACACGCCCACCCACGGGTCCCGGTGCCCCCGACCCTGATCCCCAACCTTCACCACTCACCTCACCTCACACGGCCCTCTCCCCCCACCATCGAACACGTGCACTTGCAGCTCCCTCAGCGTTTCCATTTGCCCTCGGAGCAACCGCAACAGCCCCGGAACACACCGTCATACTACATACCCCACTTTAGCGACGCTTCCCACCCCACCCCATCCCGCCCCGCCCCACCCCGACCACCCCACTATCACCCACCTGTGGCAGCTGCCGCCGCCGCGACCAGCGGGATGATCTGCGGCGACAGCAGTACGGAGCGCTTCCCCGCTGCCAGCGCCACCGCCGTGTCGATGAGCAGGGGGGCAGTGGCTGCCCAACTGAGCACCATGTTCACGGAGGAGTGCAGCAGAGCCCCGTACAGAGTCAACATCTGCGGCGACGGGGCACATAGTGGGGAGAGGCGAAGGGGGGACGGGAAATCATAACTGTAAGCAGGATAGGAGGATCAATTGCCGAGGTCCGAAGCAATGACGCGTGTTTCCATCATTCGGCAAGCTTGCTTGTGATGGGGGTGCGTTGAGGGAGAGGGGAAACGAAGCAGCGGGGTAGCGAGGAGGGGTAGGGGGTGCTACGAGGATAGGGGAGGAGCCGTGGCTAGGCAGTGAACAAGGACTGACCTGAACACCAAACAGGGCTGCACGCACGCTGCAGCCGCGCAGTGACTGCTGTGGGTTCTGGAGCACGGGGCGTATGTCGAAAATGTCGTAGGAATTTGAAAGCCAGAATGACAGACACACTGATGCCATATGCAGAAAGGACATGAGGCCGGGAGTCTTCATGGTTGTCAGGGAGCCCTGCGATGACCGTCAGCGGCATGGTCGTCGGACAATGGTTGCAATTTACGCAGCTAAGTAACGTGTCACACAGCCGTAAACCTTGCCGGCCAACCTTGACGAGAACGTAGATAGCTGCCTGGCAAGCGAGATAAAGTCCGCAGTATACGTACAGCTTGGTGCTTTCAAAGACCTCGCCGAAAGCAGCAACATCCTCAGGGAGGACCTGCTGCTTCGCCCGACGCCTAATCGAGCTCGTTGATTTCGTCTCTGCCCGGGGAATGCTTGGCGTGGTGGATGGAGGTGCCGTGACAGGAGCGAAAGGGTCTTGGGATCCTGCCTTTTTCTGCTGCATTGCTTTTTCCAAAAAATCAGCGCCAGCTTTCCTCAACGCCTCACGCCTCTGCTGATCTGGTTGTGCTGGGGCTGGGGCTGGCGCACTTAAAGCCGGGCTGCTGGAGACATTGGGCTCCGCCTGCCCAGCGCCTTTCTCTTGCTGAACAGGTTCAGGAGTTTCCATAGTGTCTACAGCTATTTACTTTAGTTACGCATGCATAGCAAAAACGAATAGCCGCTTTAAGCAAGCACAAGCCTAGAATCTCTGGAACATGCACACATAACGCCTTTGCACCAATCTTTTTAGCGCCCTGAAGTGATTCACAGCTGTACAGGTCAACGCTACCAAAGTTTTCGATCATGACGCAGGGTAAATCCCAAGGAAACCGCTCCCATGTACAGTACGGCGCTAACTGCTGTACGACGGCTATCCATTCGTTTGAGTGCACCAAGCCATATCCTCCAGGTAACCCCTGGTAGCAGCCGCGGCCTACATACAACGACTCAGCTACTCCTGACGACGCTTCAAGCCCAGTCCACCCAACGCTGTACAAGTCACCCCGCGACCACCGCCCAGGCGCTCCCAATCCTTCTACTCAAAACTGGCGCTGTCTACGTTCCATCAACTCTCCCTTCAACCGTCACCTACACAAACCACAACAGCAGGGGCCCTGGAATTATTGCGCACATTCCCTAGCCACCCCCTTCCCCTCCCTTCCCTGCTTCGTTTCTGCCTCTCTCCGGCACCTATGCACATCTACAAACCCACGTCTGGCCAGGGTGCTGTCCACATTATTTGCTCTCCCATCCCATCCCATTCCCTCCCATGCTTGTTGCGGCAGCGGCAGCGGCAGCGGCAACTGCTGTGCCGCTCCCTTTGACGCCGCCCCACCACTGCACGCCGCCAGCCAGCTACAGACCACAACGCTACTGCGACAGGCCCAGCTACAACAACCCCCCCGTTGCCGCCGGCTACAGCTCGGGAAACATGTATGTCGTCACCATGGCAGTCGCCTGAGCCAAGCTTAGTCCAGTTGCATTCGCCAGCGCCACCAGCTTCTGCCGCAGTGGCTCGTACGGCGCAAGCAGCAGCGCTGGATTTCGCCGTACAATGTCCCGCGCCTCCGCCAAGTCTAATTTGAGCATCCCCGCGAATGACCGAAGCCTCTCCAAACCTCCGTCCCCTCCGCCGCAAACACCACCGCTAAACAACACCCCAATGAAGCGGGGGTAGTTGAGCAGTACGGCAGCGGCGGCCTCGGCGTCGCAATCCAGAAGATCGGCGAGCGCCGTCACGCTCGCCCGTAAAGTGTCCGCAGTAGCAGTCGCAGTAGCGGAGGACCCGATGCCGCCGCCGTTGCCAGCCGTGGCAGCCGCGGCCGCGGCCGCTTGCAGCTGTCTTAGCTGATCTGCGAGGATGGCTCCGTCATTGCTGACACTCCCGGATCGTACGGCAGCCATTACAAGAGCCTCGACCTCGCTGGGCAGGCCGGCGACGGCGACGGCGGCGGTAGCACTCGCCGTGGCCGCGGCCGCGGCGGCGCCGCCGCCGGCCCGCTGCTGGCGCCCCTGCTTGCCGGCAGGCGGCGCTGCTACTGCCTCCGCTGCCGCGGATTGCTCGGGTTCAGCCGCCTCAGTTCGCTGTCCGCCAGCACGTGCGCTGGCAAACACCAGCTCCTCCAGGTCCTCTTCGCTTAGGTCCAAAAACTCCCCTCCGTCCTCATCCTCATCCTCCCCATCTTCCACGTTATCAATGGCCCCAATGTCGTTGCCGTACGTCTTGCTACTGCTACTCCTCCGTCCGGACGCCGCACGACCTTGTGCTGCCCCGCCCGGAGGCCTCGTACGCTGCTGCTGTTGCTGCTGCTGCTGCTCCTGTCCTTTGTGCCGCCGCCGCTGTGGTACTCCTTGCTGTGGTTGCTGCTGTTTGATCTGCTGGTGATGGTGGTGGTGTTGGCGGTTATGACCAGATGCGGATGTGGATGTGGATGTGGATGCTGCGACATGCGGCTCCCGCTCATGCAACGCCATGTCTCCGCTGGCGCCCCTTCCGCTACTGTTGCTACTGCCATTGCGGCTGCTACTGCCGTGTCCGAGCTGCAGCTGCAGGGCAGAAGCGTGTGTGTCGGCTCCCGGTTCAATGGGCCCGGATGGGTAAGGGACTTTGTGCCATCTTCTGGGCTTTGAGGGGACACCCCCGGGGCCGCCCATTGCCAGACGGCGATATCTGGCCTGCGGCTTGGGTTGTAGCTGCCCTGCATCGCTGCCGCCGGTGCCGCCGGCAGCACTGTTGCGATCCTCGCGTCCGCGGCCGCCAGCTGGCTCTAACCCCGCCGCTACCGTTGCTGCGAGTTTTGTCGTCCGTAGGGTCAGGCGCCATGATCCGCTGCCCCAACCTGCTAGCCGGCAGGAGGATGCGGTCGTGGATTGACACGCTGGGCAGCGGCCCCAAGACGAGGAGGGTGTGAAAGCTAAACGAGCGCCGGCAGCTGCAGGTATGGGGGTTATCGCTTTATGAAGTGCTTGTGGAATTGAAGGTGCTGCTTGGAAACCAGCAGGACAAATTGCAAGGGGACGCCGCATTCCTGGGAACCAGCAAGCCGGGCTAGGTACTAAGCCACGGCAATTTTCTATACTTTTTTATGGTGTTGAGATTGGACGTCTTTCCAGCTACCTAGCTTCTACAGCCGCCGTGGAAGCAAAGGCACGGACTTCAACTTTTCAGCGTACGAAACATGGCTTTTGTTTTTAGGGATTATTAGGCTAAGCATGACCACCTTCCAAAACAAATGAAGTCTGAGCTCTCTCCATACTTATTTGACAAATTCGGTTAGTGGTTGGAATGCATCCATGCATCTGTGCCAAATACAGTACCTGCCTAGACTCATTCATAGTTACGCTAGCCTGATTGTGGAAATTGCGCCTGCTAGCCTAGCTTCCGCTGCTTGCCTTGAGGCCCCACAGCCACTTACATATTCGTAACGCCATGAGCCTGCTTCTAGGACACAGAATAGCCAATACCATCTGTCAGGGCTTTAAGCATTGCACGCCCATTGTACCACCCGGGCAAGCCTGGGCAATCAGCAAGCGCTCGCTTGCGGATGCGGAGTTAGCCACGAACCTCCAAAATAGGAGCACCATCAGCCCTGGAGCGATGTGCACATCACCAAGCGTTGCCTCTTTGCCGCCTTCCAAACGGCGAAGGTTGCACCATGTCGCCGCTGGCTCGCCATCCGCTCAGGCAGCAGTGACCACAGCTCCCAGGACCGCAGCGGGCGCCAAACCACAGTCAAAGCCGCAGACGACTAAGTCCCAGGAGGACGGCTTGTGGCTCATCGTGGGGCTGGGTAACCCGGGCTCGAACTACGATGAAACACGTCATAAGTGGGTTGGGCAGTGGAGTTAAGCAACAGGAGTTGAGGGCCGATTACCTTGGACGGAAAGAAGGGTAGAACGGAGGAGAAAGATATATCTAATAAAACGGCCCCAGAGCGAGGACTGGGAACTGGGGCTGTGTGCGTCCCTGTGAGTCCCTGTGTGCATGTTCGTACACATGCATGACGTATGCATGCGTACGTATTTACATATGCATGAATCAGGATGTTGCATAGTCGCATAGTCGTCCGTCTCTCGCCTCTCCGCAAACTTGTTCAGCACATCCACATGCATTTCTCCCGCTTTACGTTTCGACACTTTAACGACACTCCCCCCCTTCAAACACACACACACTCACACACACACACACACACACACATGAAAGACTGAGAGAGTGACCTGTTCTCACAACAGCTCTGACCGGATCTACGCGGCATGGTGTTTGCGAGGGGGGAAGAAAAAGGAGACCCCGCCTCCTCCTGCTATTTTGGACGGATATACGGACGAACAGATGCAACCCTGGTCGACCAATGCACTTGTTTCTCGTTGCATTGTCATTCGGTGGTCCCCACCCCCTCCACACACACCCTCTTCCCCCTCTCCCCCCCTCCCTCTTCCCCCTCTCCCCCCTCCCCCCGCCCCCACATATGGACCACAACGTAGCGTGGGTTTTATGGTAATCGACGAGCTTGCTCGCCAGGCGGGTATCGACTGCCGCAAGCTTGAGAAGAGCGCCGCAGTGGGCAAGGGGGAGGTGCATGGCAAGCAGGTGAGCTGCCGTCCGGGGGGAGCTGGATCAGGTGCGTGTGAGGCGCACGGGGGGCCGCACGGGGGGGGGGAGAGGGGAGGTGAACAACGGGCCCTGTGTTGCGTCACGCCCGCGTCGCCTCGCGTAACGTTACGCGGTGTCCCCAGTGGTGATCACTGATCTCCGTACTGCACTATTACGAGGTCCTCCTCCGTATTGCGGCTCCTGGCCGCTCTCCCGTACGTCCCCCCACGTCCCCCCCACGTACATACCCTCATGGTTGACACACGGTGCTGCTGCTGGGTTCCCAGGAGATCCTTTGGAACTAGGAGAAAGGGGAGAGGAGGTCCTTGCCCGGTTTTTCTGGGCCCTATGTATCTATGTACGTTTGTATGTATGCATGTATGTACGTATGTATGTATGTGTGTATGTATGTATGTATGTGCAGAGACACATACATACTCCCCCCCTTTCCCCCCTCCCCCCCGTCCAGGTGCTGCTGGTGAAGCCGGTGACCTTCATGAATAACTCTGGGGAGAGCGTGGCGGCCCTGGCCAAGTTCTACCGGGTGCCCCCGAGCAGGGTGCTGGTGGTGTCAGATGACCTGGACCAGCCGGTGGCGCAGGTGGGCGGGTGGGCGGGTGGTTGGGGGGGCCGGGGAGGGGCGGGGAGGTAGGTCGTTCTCCCCCTCCGCCCCCCTCCCTCCCCCCACATTGGACTTATTGGCGACAACCTGCCCCTCCCCTCCCCATGCTCACACCATGCACTGCATCACTAACGCTTGCTATAACCGCATCCCTGCTCGCGCCATGCGTATGCCCCGCCCCCGCCCCCGCCCCCGGCCCACTCCGTCCCGGCCCGTGTGGGTTCCTGTGGGCTCCGTCAGGTGCGGATCCGCGCTAAGGGCGGCCACGGCGGCCACAACGGCCTGAGGTCCATCATCGACCGGATGGGGGGCGCACAGGACTTCCCCCGGATTAAGGTGGGGCGGTGGGGGCCAGGGGGGGGGTATGGGGGGGGGAGTTTCCTGTGAGCATGAGGGTCACATCGGAGCTGTGGTGTTAGTGGCTGAGTGGGAGTGCGGGTGTGGGTGCGTGTATGCGGGTGTGGGTGCGGGTGTGGGTATGCGGGTGTGGGTATGCGGGTGTGGGTGCGGGTGTGGGTATGCGGGTGTGGGTATGCGAGTGCGGGTGCGGGTATGGGCCGCTGCCCTCTGCTGGGGTGATCCCGCCCAGGGAGGATTGATGAGGGGCACGTCACTTAAATCTGGGGGCCGGAGTGCAGGCTGTCGCTACTGCATTGGCGCACTGGTGTGTGCTGTGTGTGTTGGTGTTGCTCACGCCCGTTGAGACCTGCCGCCACCGCCGCCATCGCGGTCCGGTGATGTGATGTGATGCGCAGGTGGGCATCGGACGGCCCTCCGGCCCCATGCCCATCGCCACGTATGTGCTGCAGCCCTTCAGTAAAGCGGAGCGACCGGATATCGACCTCGCTGTGCAGGTGGATTGAGGGGAGGGGAGGGGAGGGGAGGTCACCGTTTGGCTGGGGACTGCATCGCCGTACGTTGGGGTCACGTACACATCCCCCCACCCACCATGACGCACACATACACACACGGAAACCCTAAGTCATACCTGATTTATAAGTGTAAAATCCTAACCACACGTCGCTGGACTATTCGGAACTTGTTTCGGTATGAAGTTTTCCATGCGCCCTGGACCCCGTCATTTTCCTCACTGCGGCCCACCTTACCTCTTTCCTGGATTACATCCCCCTCCCTCCAACCCCCCCTGGCAGCAGCTTCACTCGTTCGTGGTTCGTCTGTCCCCCAACCCCACACATACACACTCCCTCCCCACCTTCTTCCCGCCGCCTCCCTCCCTCCCCCCACCTTCCCAAATCAGGAGAGTGTGGCGCTGGTGAAGAGCGTGTTGGCGCTGGGGCTGGAGAAGGCCGCCTCGGGGCAGCGGATCTAGCTAGCAGAGGGGGCAGGTCATGTGGTTGGCGTGTGGGCCGGGATGGAGCCGGGGGCCGGGGGGGGGGCGGGAAGGGGGCCCGGAGGCGGGGCCGGGGCCGGGGCCGGGGAGTTGAAGGGAAGCGGGCGGAGGGTTCAGAGCCGAGGTGGTGTTGACGCTGGTGGTGGGTGGTGGGGAAGGGGCGCGTCTTACCCCGTACATCCTACATTGATGATTTTTGTGCGGCATCGGTGCGTAGAGGTGTAGTTTTTCAGCGGCGGTAGAAAGTGGGCGCGGGTTTTTCTCCCGGTGAGCCATAACCCGGAGTTAGGTACGGCTAGGCAATGCTGTACAGTGCTGTACAGACGGTAAAATGAAGGGACACAGAAAGTGGTGACAGTGGAGGGGAGCGAAGTTGAGGGAGAGTGGAGAGTGGAAAGTTTGTTTGCCGCGTAAAGTAATGCAGTAGAGAGAGAGAGAAGGTACATATGGCGATTATGTGGCCTTGGGGTTTGGAGTCTGCGGCGTGGCGTGGAGTGAAGGTGGAGTGATAAGGTGTCTGGTATAGCTGGCGGCGGCAGCGGTGCCATTTCCGTGTACCGTCTGACCACGTGCACAGATGCGCATCAGGACTGTCTGCAGCGCCCGGAGTCCCCGCTGAGGCAGAGGCGGCCGCGGCTCGGCAGTGGCTTAGAGATTTGAAAGAGTGAAGCGTTCCAGGGCAGGTGAGGCACGGCAGGTGAGTGAGAAGAAGAAATGAAGGGAGCTGTGAGACCGGAAGACAAATTACTTAGCAAGTCGGTTAACAACCGTATTTTGGTTCTCGGTTAATGCTGTGAAGTAACATCCTGCCCATGATGCCAGGATTGGAAGGGGGGGAGGAGGAGGCCCCCAGAGCTTGGTGGACACGTGGCGCATTTGGGGAGGGTATGGGTGGGCGGCTTGGCATGGCGCTTCATTACAGTCATCCATCCACACAGCATGTGGGTGTACGTGTTGAGGGGCAGTGCGGACTGGTTCGGTCGGTTGGAGCGCGTTAGGGGAAGACATAGGAATTTCCGCGATCCATTGGAGAAGACGTCAGTCAGGTTGGACCGAAGACTTGCGCTGGCTTGGACTGGACTCCATGAAACGCGGTTCGGTGGAAAAGCTTTAACTGGTGTTCGTTCATGTGTGGTTATGGAAAAGTAGCTGCAGGCTTGTGGGCTTCGGCTTGGGTTTCAGCGGTTGAGCGGTTCAGCGCCCAGCGAGTTTCGGTTACGAATTCCGATCCTATGATGTGGTCCCATAGCTGCTGTAGGGAGGCCGGTAAGCTGTTCAAGGGCAGTAACAGGTTGCTAAGGAATTTTATTTGTGGCATCTTCTGGCTTGCGTATGGCGCCTCACTCGGCTGTGCGACAATCCCCCGTTTCTTTAACATTAAACACTGTCAGGCATTCGGCTAATATTCATGTACGATTCTGCAAATGCATCGTCTGCTTCGGCTTGTCGAAACCAGATAGTCCATGCAACTGCTTGCCTCTAGTCCGCAATTGTTAAGTATACTTAACAAGTGGGCAGTTTCCTGCTTCACCTTCTTACATTCGATCCTTAAACGTGCTTATTATTTTGATCAATTTGGTAACGATGTGAATGGACGATGCAGTGTACGATACAGTGCTGACTGATTTGGCAAGCGGACGTGACCAACAAGCGGTGCAAAGCACAGTGCAGTTTCTCTTAGTATATGCTTACGGTATTATTGACTTTGCAGTTTTTAAAAGAAACACGGAAGTCACATTAGAACGTAACTTTGGTCGTGCAGTCGGTTTCGAGACATCATTGAAATGCGTCGCTATGAGTGATGAGCAGATCGGGACAAAGCGCCCGGGCGCGTTTAAAATGGAAGGGCCTGCCTACCTTGGCCTTGCAAAAGCATTCCGATTAGCTTAAATGGCTGAAATTTTTTAGCATAACAGAGGTCTTGTGTGGGCCCGCAAATCCTCGAGCTCACCACGGGCGGGGGTGGCAAAAGGAGCAAAGGCCCTGTACTGCCTGAGGCGGCCTAATGACTGCTCTGTTATCCGCCAACACTGCATCAGATTCTTTCCTTTACAGCTTCACACCTGCAGCCGTCGGCCGTGGAGGTACGCTTTCCTTACCAAGCGCATGTGGTCCCCTTCCACTGCCCGTCACAAATGTTCGACAAACAAATTGCGCTTTGTTGCTGTTCGCGCACACCTGTATCCCAGCATGACAACATTCCTTCCAGCAAATCCAACTGCTTCCTCTTTCGTAACGCAGGAGTTGGCCCCGTCGCAAGTTCATCCTCCAATTCACCAGGACAGTTGACCGGCTCGCGGAGACTTAGAGCGTACTCGGTACCAGGGGAGCCAATCCTTCCTATTCCGGAGGGTGGAGAAGGCCACTCGTAAGACGGGGTTTAATTCCCGCGGTTGAACCTCCCCTCTTTAACGTGCCATCCTGCCATGTTCGGGGCCGCCCAGCGTGCAGCACGATCTGGGGCGAGGTACCCCAGCAGCGGGGCCAGCTACTCCCCTCATGTTCCCGACATTCGCCCATGTCTAGACCAAACAGGATGTGCCTGAATGTATCGAAGCGTCCACTTCCAGTTCCCCCTCAAGCGCCTGGTCACTGCGCCCACTGTCAAGCCAGCGACATCCCGCCTCGCCCTCCCGCCACCGCAGGGATCTCCAAGGCATCGCCCTCAGCACGTCCCTCAGCGTGCCCGCCATGCCAGTCGGCCGAGCGGCCGCCCTAGGAATGAGCCGATGCGGCAGCGCTGATCGGAGCCAGCAGCAACAGCACCACCACGGCACCAGCAGCAGCCTCAGCAGTGCTGCGGCGCTCAGCGTCAATAACCTCGCCGGCGGCGGGGCTGCGGCAGCCATGCCAGTGATCGGCGGCGGCGGCGGCACCAGCAGTGAAAGGATTCTGCCACCGATGCGGCACAGCATCAGCGGGAATCCCGGTATCGGGCTGCCGAAGCTGGACTTACCCTTCCTGGCGTTTGGCGGAGGGGGAGGTACCGGCGGCGGAGGCGGAGGTGTGCCACTCGAACGGCCCGTGCTGGGGCTGTCCAGCTCAGGCCGCCGCTCCCTCAGCGGTACCTTATGTGAGGTACAGTCGGTATCGGCGCCGGCGTCTTTCCTGGACCTGCCGTCGCCGCCGCCGCCGACGGCAGCAGGGCCATTCGAAGGCTCGGCGCCGCCGTCGCCGCCCCGAAGCGGTGCACCTGCGGTATTGGCGCCGCTCCGAGTAAGCGGTGTATTCGCCGCCAGCGGGGCCGGCGGCTGCGCCGCCGCCGCCGCGCCGTCTTTTTCCTCCGGCCCTGCTGCTGTTGGGGAGTCTTCAGGTGGTGGATGGTGTGGCGGCGGCGGCGGCGGCGGTTTGTTATCGTCCAGCAGCAGCCGTCGTCACACGAGCTCTGCTGGACTCTCGGAGGGTGGCAGCTTTCCGCCGCAGCCGCCTCCCCAGGGGTCTTTACTGCCGTGCACATCGGAAGGGGCCGTGGCGTCCCCCCTGACACCGGGCCTACCCTACGGCAGCCCCTACGGGCCACCACGCCGCTCACACAGCCTCACAGGCTCAGGCGGCGGCAGCAGGCTTCTGGCCGACAGCGACGGTGGCAGTGCGGGCGGCAAACGGATATCAGATGCCAGGGAGGGCCCTTCCGAGGGCGCAAACAGAGCGTGTGGCAGCAGCGACGGCGGCGGCGGCGGCGGCAGCGGGGACGCCACCGTGAACAGCTCGGCAGCGAAGGCGCTGAACGATATCACGGCCGACCTTCAGCGGTCGACCGGGGCGCTTCTAGCGCTGCGTGCGCCTGCTTTCCGGTCGCGGTCATCACCGCCGCCGTCAGCGGGCGCTGCAAAGGCGGCTGCGAGTGCCGAAGCGTCCGTCGCAGCGGGGCCGCCTGCGGCGGCGACGGTTCCGCCGCTCTCGCGTACGACGCTGACGGCGCTGAAGGAGTCGGCACCGGAGCTGCAGTGGGCGCTGCGGGTATCTGTACGGCGGTTTTTTCACATGCTACGACAGGAGCTGTCATCAGCGGTGCCTGCGGGGCGGCAGCAACTTGGCAGTACGATACACGAGGCGTGGGCGACGTTGGATGCATACTACGAGAGTACAGCTGGTACGGCACCGTAGAGTCGTACACGGAAAGTTCTCAGTTGGCTGTCATTGGTGTTTGTTGGCGGGGTGTGTTACACGGCGGGCAAAGGTCGCCCTGGGAAAGGACGGCGAGCACCGGGGGCCTGACCAACGCAGCGCAGGGCCGGGCGCGCGGCTTCACCGTTGTTGTTGTTGTTGTTGTTGTTGTTGTTGGTGGTGGTGGTGTCCTGTGCTTGTGCTGTTCGTTGTCATGCAGCCCTGAGAGCGCGAAGGGGCGAAATCGGGGTTTGATGGCGGTGATGCACTGCCCCGCATGTGACTGTCCCCTCCCCTGAACATCATGTATTGCGGCATATCATCACCATCACCACCACCATCACCATCACCACCACCACCACCATCACCACCACCATCACCACCACCACCACCATCATCATCACCATCACCACCACCACCATCATCATCATCATCACCATCACCACCATCATCATCATCATCATCACCATCACCACCACCATCATCACCATCATCTTCTTCTTGCTGATCTCAGAACTCGTGGAAGCGCTGGTGGAGAACGCATTGGATGTGACGGCGGCTCAGGCGCCGCCGCCGCCGCCACCTCGAACGTCGGCCAATCCAGACAGGCAGCAGCGGCAGGTGGATGCGGCCGGCAACGGCGTCATCATCGAGACCGAGCGCGCGGCGGAAAAGCTGAGGGTGAGGGGGCTGGGAGTGTATCGGGGACCGGTTCGCTTCACGCTGGGATGTAGCCCAGGCAGCCCGCGATCGACGATGACAGGATTGAACACCCGCTTTGGGGGCCCACGTCTCACCGGTCGGAGAAATGCGCATCAAGAATAATAGTTGGCTGTAGCTTTGATGTGGGCCCTGCCACAGCCTAGTTGGCGGATTTCATCATGTTACTCCTGCTGCTTTGATCCTCAATACGCCAGGTAATGTCTTTAAGCTTCAGTCAATAACGCACTCTCTCGCGCGCGCAATGTACGACTTTCTTTTGTACGACGGTGTGTGCCGTATTTCCCAGGCCGCCAACGAGGAACTCCGGAAGCAACTGGAGGAGTGTAGGGCCCGTCTGGCGGAGTCAGAGACGCGGTTGACGGCGGCGGCAGCCCGCGGTGCACAACCCGGCGGCGGCGGCGGCGCTGCAGCAGCCCCGCGACCGCCCCCGGCGACGACGGTGACGCCACCTCTGGAGAGTTGCTACGGCACGTCCCCTAGGTACGACATCGAAGTGCATTTTTTGGGAGAATACGCCTTGAAAATTTACAAGTCATTTATTGTGAAGCACACGGGGATACGGCCCCACAGACTTTGCGGTCCCTCTCCCGGCATATGCCCTTGGTGAACCTTTCCACCTTTCCAAACTCATGAATTCTGTTATCTGATGTGATGCTGGACGATCTGGACTTTTATAAGCTGGATGGTTTTGTAGTTTTGCGACCTCGACATATCGCATCTTCACCTGCCTCTTCTTCGCAGTCCTTAATGTTGTGTGTTAGCCATTACTCGGCTTGTGACCCATGGGTCACTCACTGCGACGAGTATCTGCCTGTGGTTTGGACCCTCCGATAACAGGCGTGGGAAACACGCCGTTGTTCAGCCGAGCCGAGACGGCGTCGCGCCGACAGCTTCCGATGGCACTGACGGCGCCACGGGTCGAACTCCCGGTGGCGGCCGCGGCGCCGCCGCCGTCGCGTCACCGGCGCCCGCATCCCCGGCGGCGGCTGCGACAGCCAGTCGTCCACCGCCAGCCACGAACGCATGCGAACGGCCGCTACGGCGCTTCGAAAGATCTGCCGTACTTGCTCGCGGTGCGACATGCGATGTGATGGTGATTGAAGAAGACGACTCAGATGGTGACGATGATGCCGACACTGCAGAAGGCAGCGTCGACGCCCGGCGGCACATGTTGACGTACCATTCGGCGTCTTTCGCGGAATGGGTGCGGGGCGCGCGGCGAAGGTAGGGCCCCGCCCCATGCACTGGTCAGCGCTGATGCGGGCTTTATGTATTACTTATGGGGATATCGCCGTCGCCGCGATCATAATGCTGGTTGTGGTAATGACGGTGGCGGGAGTGGTGGTTGTGTTCTTAGGAAGGCGTCCTTGTGCATGATGAGGAGCGGCAGGGCGCGGCAGGAGAGGGAGAAGGGGCCAAGTAACCAAAGCAGGCTGTGTTCATGGCCTCCGGATTGCCTATATATATAATTGCCTATATACATACCATATATATAATCTGCTTGTTGTCATACGTGAAACAGCACAACGTGGGAGCAGGTAGAAGTAACGAGCTCTGTCCATACTCTGCTCGGGGTGAGTTGAGCTTGTGTGTCTGTAGCTGCTTCCTACTCTTGCTCTATGTTTCGGTTGGAGAGACTGGTCGACATCTGTATACACACCTCTGGAATGCGCGAGAGAAAGTCATTCCTGAAGGCCTCAAGGTCGCGCTCGGGGAGCGCTCTGGAGACTGCGGCTGCGGCCACTGCTACTAAAACTAAACGTATGGATTGGCTGGCGGGCTGCTGCCGATTCCAAGCAGCGCTTTCTACCTCAAGATTGAGTCCATGAGCGCTGCTTTTTCTTTTCCTCACTCAGCTGAGCGACTATTATTATTGTTATTATGACCCGGGTTCACGAGGCTCCGCAGCCGGCAAAGCCGGGAGGGATGGCTTTCGGCATCATGTGCTTTTGCATCTGCGGCTGGTTGGATACCACCTGGTACCGTGTCCGTGTATTAACATTTTGTTGGCGGTACAATTTGCTGTGACTATGCATCCCACCTAGGAGGTGCTGCTGCACCCCTTCCCATTCCCAGCCACACCGTTAGAGGCTACCGGAGGTACCGGAGAGGTTCCTATTGGAGATGGTGAGGGGCTGAGGTCCCGACCCTCTATAGAGACGTGTAGTTTGGAGAGAGGAGAGGAGATCGGCGCGCCCTCTAGTTACTGGTGGGGACCCGCCGTCGCGCCGCCGCTTTCACACATATATATATACGACCAACGCTGCTGCTGCTGCTGCTGCTGCACGTAACGCTGTACATATAAAGAGTGTGCATTATTTGTGATTTGCGCGCAACCATACAATTGGGTGCTGTGCGGACTATTGATTTATGTCATATACCACCTCTTGACGGTGTGAATAATTTTCGACGTCATCACTAGAAGTGTGTGGCGCGGGCCCGTCACGGTGCGGGCCAGGGTATACTTATTGCGCATTTGCATACTGGTCTTTGACCCCTCGCCCTCGGGTAAGCAAGAATCTTCAGGACAAACAAACAAACATACATACGCCCGCTTACGCGCAACCCGAATGCCACTCATCTTCCTCGCAAACACAAGGCAACAGGGCCCCCACGTCACTCGCGCGTATACGGCAAAAGCCCCAAACCCCGGTTGTGAGCTCCCAACGGACCGAGACAAAGGAACCTCCACCTCCACCTTCCACAAGCACCCACCGCACCACATCACAACACATCACAGCTCAAAAAGCGTCTCACCTCACAATACGATCCTCCAACTACCTCCGGTACTGAGAGGAATATCTAAGTGTACGGCACCGCAGTACACTACAGTTCTTCCCCCCCCCCAGGCAAAGATCAAGAAGACACCCACATGCCCCACGTCTTGGTTCGGGATTGTGTGTTCGCCCGATTCGGTTAAGCTGGTATAGGAAGTCCCTGGAAAATAGTCCCTAGGCGACGGTGTATTACTGTTTTTCGTGAATTGTGTGTCTGTCATTTGGCGCTTCCAGGGCTCATTTCGGTGGGACAGCTTCAGGAGCGTCAGGAGCCAAAACAGACAGAAATATTCCAGTGAGTGCCAGTGCCTTATATGGGGTCCACAGGCCGCCATACACACACGCCGCTGATCACCGGCTCCCCTCCCCCCGGCCCAAACACCGCACGGTAGCCATTGAAGCGGCGCGCAATACCACCGCCTCCGTGCCTTGTAAACCGAAACAGCCGCGCCAGCTTGCCGCCACTACCACGCCACCCCCGGCATGTACATGTACTGTTTTGTCTATCTATAAACGCTTTTAACACACACATGTAACACACACACTGTCTATAAGTGCTTTTGCTGAAACTGCTGATAGCCGCAGTGCCCGTGCCTGTGTGCGCAAAGCATGTTCATGTATTGCTTTGTAATGGCCTTGAAAAGGCGTTAAGGTGGCGTGTAAAGCACCAGGATGGTGGCGTCTGCGATGCTGTAATACTGCCGCCTTTTCCGCTCTCAGGACTGCTCTACTGCTGCGAGTGCTAATGGGCTGGTTGCACTGATGCCGCTCCCACGTCGTCTGGGGCTTCACGATGCGGCTCCTCTGTGGCGGCTCCTCTGTGGCCTAGACGCGACATTGCTGCTACATGGTATATGATGTCGGGTGACGTAGCTGTCGCTTCTGCTGGTGGTGGTGCTGCAGCGTCAGCGGCGGTGGTTGTGGCGGGAGCAGTTGCCCAGGAAACGATGTTGCTCGCGCGCTCACCCCGTATCGACAAACGCAGTACGCCTGTACATCTTTACCCTCCTCCTGTTGCCGCCAGGAACCTGTCACGCCGGTTCCTGGCGCTTCCTGTCGTGTCCAGGAAGGTTTGCCATTCGCAAACACGGGACGCTCGAGGACTCCACCAGGCTAACCATGCGCCTCCTGGCTACCTGTCCTGATGCCCCGGTACTAGCTGCCGCCCTAAATTTGCTGCCACTGCCGCCGCAACAACGACGTACAGTCACTTCCTTTGCTGCCACTGCCGCCGCAACAACGACGTACAGTCACTTCCTTTGCTGCCACTGCCGCCGCAACAAACGACGTACAGTCACTTCCTTTGCTGCCACTGCCGCCGCAACAAACGACGTACAGTCACTTCCTTTGCTGCCACTGCCGCCGCAACAAACGACGTACAGTCACTTCCTTTGCTGCCACCGCCGCCGCGCTCTCAAGAATCGCCGCTTGGCAGCTCCAAAACCATCTCAAACCACGGGTCGCGCCCGTGCACGACATCCGAGGGCCCCGCTAACGTAAACCCCGCCTTCTCGTACAGTCCGATCTGCGTCCGGGCCGCAGGTGCAGGTGAGCAGGGCGCGTGTCGGGCGAGAGGGATGGGGCGGGGGACCAACCGATGGTGACAGCTGGCCCATCCGACTTTGAATATCTAACGCAATTACACCAGGCGCGGCGCCAGAGCCTAAACCATCAACAACATGTGTGTGTAACACCATTTGAGTTACCACTTAGGGAAAAAGGCGTACCCATGCGTAGCTGCCGCTTTTCCGCCTTCCCCGTCCCCTTCACTCTTTTCCCACCCCAACAGGCAGAGACACCCGCGCCTGGGCAAAGTAATAGAGGTGCGCGAACGGTTTACACACAGCCTTTCCCTGTTGAGTCCATCGCTAGCTTACTCTCGGTATGAATATTCCGACTATACAGTGCTGGGCATTGAGCGAAACTACTATAGCTGACATACATACAGATACAAAGATGTCGATAACTTTCGGGGGAAGGTTGCTTTGGGTTTTGGCAGCTGTTTTTTGGTGCTCTGGCAGCTGGCGTTTATGTCTAGGGTGCGTGGGGCACCATGGACATAATTCCCTCCCTCGACTCCCTCCCTGGCCCTGACACTCCTACATCCTCCCTGGAGGGCTCACCAGGTCCTGTTTGCAAATGAGCCGTATCGCTTGAAGGTGGGGGGTCGTAGCCTGCACGTACGGCACGTACGCACGGAGCAGCCGCGTGGCCAGGCCCTTACGGCGCAGCCCCGCCTCCACCACCACTGCACCATAACATCACGCGGGTGATGAAATTCATGTTGATGGTGATGATGGTGGAATGGGATCGTAGGACAGCGGCTGTGGCGGCGGGTACGGATACTGCCTGGGCGCTGCACAGCTGGTAGTGTGCACTGCCCTAGGGTTGGGGTTATTCGTTTCCTGTGCGCACCTGAGTGGATGCACAGGAGGGCACCCTCCTGGTCGTGCGTGGCCATGGACTCGTGCGTCAATCGCCCGGCATTCGTGCATGTGCCACAAACATATCCCACGACCTCCGGTTCTGCTCCACCGTCACGGCATTGCATCGCTACCATGAAAACGTTGGGGGCGCTAAGAATGCGGAACTCTAGTTTTTGAAAAGTGGCAGCTTCATCAGCTGGGTACGACGACGATTCAAGCTCATGAATGCGGATTAAATGTTCTGGTTGTACTGGCGCAAAGAATATCGTATTGCCTAATGACTGATATTGTTCCAGAATGTGGTTGCTTTCTTCTTCGGAAGTGGCCATTTTTTGCGCTCGGCTGGGATTACAGTGATAAAATCAATTGCGTCATCGGAGGGTTTTGTTCATCGGTATTGCTTTAACCTTTGATCGTGAAGTTTGGCGGTTGCAATTTTTGTGGTAGCCGTTAGGGCCTTATGAATCCCCGCATTTGTGAAGTTGGTCAGTCTTCCCCTCCACAAGTCAATCCTTTTCTTCCCTTGTTCGTTGACCTACCAGGATTAAGTCTTTACGCACATAACTGGGCCAAAGAGCCACATTCGAACAAATGGCTCTGGCGATGAAGCAGTATCCTTCGGCCCTGGGCGCCAGGTGTGCGCACATAGCTTAGCCCGCCACGCCCTTTCAATTTTTGAAGTATAATTGTATTTGGGCTGCGCAGGAAGCCGTGTCAGCCGCTGCTCCCGCCTCGGCCCAGCGTGCGTCGTCCAGGAGCGGGTGTGTCCTGGCGCTCTGGATTGTTCCGTTGGAATCCTGCATAGACCACAGGTTCTGAAGTCTATGTTTTTGTAGGCATCGGATCTGGTTCGCGACGTGCGGCTGTGTGCGTTAAGGCCAGTCTGTTGGACCCCAGCACCGCAGCCAGGTAGTTACGCCGGCGCGGTCACCGCGCCTTGCTTCTTTGGACGCCAGACCAATTAGAATCGATGGCGCTAATTTTGCATTTGTTTCCTCTGCAGCACTGTTGAGGCGGTTCAGCACGCCCAAAACCTTTACACCTTGGCCGATGGAGGCCCAATCGACCTGCTGGCGCAGTTCTTCACATCGGTGTTGCGGGTGCGCTCAGCTCAGCTGCTGTGCTGCCGCATGCTTTACTTGAGCAATAGCCCCTGAACTCGTGGTTGATGCGGTGCTGACGCCGTGCCGCCTCATGCAGACGCTGGACGACGGGCTAGAGAATGCGCACGTGCCATACTCGTATGGCTTCGCCATCATCACGCTGACCGTTCTGGTGAAACTTGCGACGTTTCCGCTTACCCAAAAGCAGGTGGGTATCTCGCAGCGAGCTCTGGGGGGGACCCGCTCACACCCGAGTACACCCTGGCTGCTTGTGCGATGCCCATTTTCCCGCCACTGCGCACTGTCCTGACTAGGGGGCCGGCCTCGCCCAAAAACCTGAAACAGCCATAAATCATAGCGCGACTGGTTAACCGTCTGGTCCGCCGTCGCGAGCCAGACCCCAACGGGCTCATACTCTGGATTGAAGTCTGTATGGATGATTATGAGCTTCACGAGTTTGTATGGCGGTTCAAACTAACCCGAAGGCTCATGAACTGCCTTTTTTCAACAAAAATGGAAAAGAAAGAGGAAAAGAATGTCAAGTGGTATTGGACTGAAAGGAAGCAGGTTCATGCCGCCACGTACTGCAGCGCGCCATCAGGACCTGGGGCAGAACACGGCGCGGGAGACTTTCCGGGAGGCAACTTCCTGGCGTACCCGGCCAGACAGCCAAACAGTGTTGTTGTTAGCCCTTAGACAGGCTTTTGTACCCGGCTGTCGAACCCAACTTTCCATTCCCCAAACTTGTTCTTTGAATTCACCGATGATGGGGCCAAGTTATGCCAACCTTGGGACTTGGGCACACTCAGTCGTCGAAACCCACATGCCCACCCGGGTTTTGGAGCCACCGGCAGTTAATCCTACGCATTCCGCCAGTTGAAAGGTGCTTTGCAGCAGTTAACAGTTAGCAGTTGGTGCATTGACTTGCCAGCATTCGATTCCCCCCGGGGTTCCCCCCGCAACCCCTTTTTAGGACGCCGGCAGTTCATTCCTTGTTTCCCCCCACACGGCACATGATTTCATCCCCCCCACCCCCGCCTCTGTCGGTAACCTTCCTTCCGACTTGCAGGTGGAGTCCACGCTCTCCCTCCAAGCACTGCAGCCCCGCGTCAAGGAGCTCCAAGCCAAGCACGCCGATGACCCGGAGACGCTGCAGCTCGAGACGGCTCGCATGTACAAGGAAGCTGGCGTAAACCCGCTGGCGGGCTGCCTGCCCACCCTGGCCACTATCCCCGTCTTCATCGGTCTGTACAATGCGCTCAGCAATGCAGCCAAGGCGGGTCTTCTTACGGAGGGCTTCTTCTGGATCCCCTCATTGAGCGGCCCCACCACCATTGGCGGCGGGCTGGAGTGGTTGTTTCCCTTCCAGGACGGCGCTCCGCCTGTGGGCTGGGCGAACGCGGCGGCCTACCTGGTGATGCCGGTGCTGTTGGTGGCGTCCCAGTACGCTTCCCAAAAGATAATTTCCACGACGCAGAACAGTAACGACCCGGCGCAGCAGCAGTCGCAGGCGATTCTGAAATTCCTGCCGCTGATGATTGGTGAGTGCAGGGGGCCCTTGGGCTGTGTGTATGGGGGGGAAGGGGGGGGAGGGGGGAGTGGAGTGGGGTGCTGTGAGCTTTGGGTGTTGCGTGGCGAACGGCGGCGGTTGATTGTGTTCCATGGTGTGGCATGGTTTGGCGCTGCGATGATGGGGTCGCGGAGGGGGTAATATGATGGGGGTTGGACTACGTGACGACGTCAGGATGGAAAGTGGAATGGACTTGGGAGCTCGCGAACGGACCCGGCGCACCTTCCCCTCGTCCTAGCCTCGTCCTACCCTCGTCCTACCCTCGTCCTACCCTCGTCCTACCCTCGTCCTAGCCTCGTCCTAGCCTCGTCCTAGCCTCGTCCTAGCCTCGTCCTAGCCTCGTCCTAGCCTCGTCCTAGCCTCGTCCTAGCCTCGTCCTAGCCTCGTCCTAGCCTCGTCCTAGCCTCGTCCTAGCCTCGTCCTAGCCTCGTCCTAGCCTCCGAGCGAAATGGACAGCCAGAAAGGCTCGTGAGTCTGCGTCCACACCCCCAAAGGATGTTTTGCAATAGTACCGGACGGAACATCGAGCATCGAAAATGTGTCGGTGGTCGGTGCTGGTGTTGGAGGAGATGTGTCGCCGGGTCGCAGAGCGGGGGGGGGGGGGTTGCATGGACATGGGGGACCTGGCTGCGCCGTGTCGTGTCTCTTGCGTATTGTTCCGTTAGAGGAATTGTGGACCACCGCTGCACCAGATACCTCCAAATGATGACGGGTTGCTTTAAGGGGGCATGCCCCATGAGCTGTAATGAGCTGTAATGAGCTGTCCCATTTAGGCCTCTGGCACATCGAGGTGCCCGCGTGTCGCTCCTGCCCTGTCGACTTGCCTTGCATATCTTCCACCCCCCCTTTGCATCTCGCTAATGGCACGCATTACGTGGCGGGTATTTCTTGTGTGCCCTCCTCGCCACCTCTTATCCATGTTGCCCTGCGCACGCTGCCGCTTCCCTTCCCGCCTCCTTTCTTCATCACAGGCTGGTTCTCTCTCAACGTGCCCTCGGGCCTCACGCTGTACTGGTTTGTCAACAACCTTCTGTCAACCGCGCAGCAGTTGTATCTGAAGGCGACCGTCAAGGTGGGAACCGCCGGGGGAAAGGGGAGGAGGGGGGACTTCCCCCGGGTGTTCAGGGGGGGCCGCACGGCTGCCGGGGAAAGGATAGGGTTCCTGTACTAATATAAGCACACTAGCTTGTGCACTACCACCGCTGTGCTTTTTTACGTTTGCCGACTCGCGCCATTTGGGGGTCTTTAATTTCGTTTCGTGCGTCGTAGAATGTTTTTAAAACGGAGAGCAAGTCAGGCCCCGTCAGAACTTGTCGGTCCCGCAACGCGCTCAGCTCACTCACAGTTCACGCACGTGCGAACATGTGCTCAGGTCAACGTTCCCGAGTCCATTAAGGCGCCTGTGGCGGCAACATCGGCCACCGTGGTGAAGCCCAAGGAGGAACGCGTGAAGAGGATTACAGGTAAGCCTGTGTTGTAAAGGAGCGAAACTTGGAATAAACGAGGTCTGACTCGGCGGACCGGACGCAAAGGCCACAGAGTGTTCTTTTGCATTATGCGCGAAGACTAGGTGTGGCGTCGTCGTCCTCGCAGCTCCCTTTTTGCTGGTTGCGAGCGAGTACCCGGCCCTTCTTTTTGCTCTTCTGAATTTCTTGTCGCGTCATTTGACGGGAGTTCTATGGTGGGGAAGAGGAAGCTGCTGTGAAAGGATCTTGGTGGTGATAGAGGAAGTGTAGGGGAGAAGGGAAGAAGTATGACTCTCCTGTGTGCGTCTCCTGTCGCTTGTGTCCGCAGGCAAGGAGCTTGGGGCGCGGAAGAAGCGGCGAAACGAGGCGGGTGAGGAGGTGGAGGAGGTGGATGTAGAGATTGTGTCCACCAGCGGTAGCAACGGCGCCGCCTCAGCGTCGCCAGCTGTCAACGGCAACGGGTCAGGATCTTCGCGCAAGGGTGAGAAGTTCCGGGCGCTCAAGGCACGGGAGGCGGCTGCAAAGGCGGCCGCGGTTGCGTCACCTAACCCCACGCCCGTCAATGCGAACGTGGGTGGGCCAAGCAAAGAAGATTTCTCCTCGGGTTCAGATAACGGCGCCGGGTCGGCGTGAGGCTTGCTGACTGACAGTTTTGGAGGGGGGCTGGGGATGGGGCAAGTGAGGAGCGGGTTGGTGTCTTTCGGGCGGATGGTTTTCCGAGCGTGCAGCTGGAAGGATGAGAGATGGAGGGCCAGGGCGGGGTGTTGTGGGCAGGTGACGAAGGGGGTAGGGTTAGCGCCAGTTTTGGGGATGAGAATCTGGGTTGCGAGTGCTGGAATGGGATTAGGAGACGCGGCAAGACGGTGTGCGATTAACGGACATGATAGCTCGCAAGTGAGCTGGGAGGATTGCCACTGTGCAGTGGGAACTCGTTCTGGCTTTGGGTGTGCATCTGACAGCGAATAATAGAAGGGGAATAGAAAGCTGCAGGACATGCAACTCCTATTATTACTGCGATGGGGGTGCGTTTGTTCTGGAGAGTGCACGGTGTGCCGGTAGGGATTTTTGGTGGGTCGATATTGCCCCCGCAGCAGTAATGTGTCACTCGTCGTTATATGCAAACGAGAGGATTCGAGGTTCATGTTCGTACTAAAGCACTGCCAGCGGTGAGAGATTCTGTGTGTGCATTATGGCCACTCCAAGGACGTTCGTGCAGGTCAGCTTGGACTCTGTGATTTTGTATTAACTACTGTCGTTTTAATCTATCGACAAAGTACTTTCACAATGATCAATATAAGACATTGAAAACGGAGTCTTGTTCAGCTCTTGGGTAACAACTGAATCGGCTTGCAGCAGATGCGTCTACAGCATCCATAGCGGAATTGCATATTTAATCTGACTTTTGGACATTGCTGCTGAGGATATTATAGGGAGAAAACTGGTGGATGGCGGACCCAGCGGCACAGGTGAGTTCAAAGCGAGCGATAATGGACGGATTTATATCTTTCGGGTGCTCAATGAGCATTATTTCGTGTTTGTATTGCAATAGAGGCTTCTCGCGATCCTAGTACTAAACATGCGTGGGATGCTGTTGGCAATCTGCCAAGCCCATACGCGTACCCAAATGCTGCGTTGACCAGGGCCACGTGGAACTAGAAGGTACCGGTAAATTCTACTATCCGTCGGGCGCAACCTACGAGGGCCAGTGGAAGCTTCTGAATCCGCCACCACCGCCGCCGGCTGAGGAGCCAAAGGAAGTCAAAAAGAAAAAAGGAAAGGATGAGCCACCTCCGCCACCTGCGGAGCCGCCAAAGCGTGTCCGGCATGGAAAAGGTGCGGCGACCACTTGCACGGGTGAGGGCCGAGGGTGGACGGCTTTACGGCCTCCTACCGGAGCTTCAGAGCAGCACACAGGCGGGATGGGATCGGCACTTATCTCTTAGCAAAGCTTCTCTTTCCAGCTGAGGAGGCCTCTGCGTCACCAGCGCCAGGCTGTAGGCCTGCAGGCTGCCGGCGCTTGGCACTACCGGGACCATAAGCCCCGCGCCATCCTAGGGCGTGTCGCGGTGGCATCGCGGCACCTCGCCCCCAACTGAACCGGCACGTCTGTGACGTGTGTGCATGTGTATAGGCTCATCCATGGCATCATGGCCCCCCCCACCGCCTCCTGCCCTGCCCTCGCTGGTCCATTGCTCTGCGCCCACGCGTTTGTTAATCTACTCCACCACACCACACCACACCACACCACACCACACCACACCACACCGCACCGCACCGCGCCCCTGGCGGTCCGGGTCCCTTCACATCCTTTCTGAAGACCGATCTCCACTTCGCTGCTCTGAAGGGCTGTACCAGGAGGGCGACTACGTGTACGAGGGAGAGTTCTTCGAGGACGTGATCCAGGGACAGGGCACCTTCACATACGCCAGCGGGGCCAAGTACATTGGCGAGTGGAAGGCCAACAAGTACCATGGCAAGGTATGTCGCGTGCCCTGTCGCACATCGCGCCGAAGGCCTCCTCTTCCCCGTCTGCGTCGTAAACACCGTTGCTGCTGCTCAACAAGCATTGTTCCCTACGCGCATACAAGTAGTGCACATGTATGTATGTATGCACACGCGCGGATCGGAAGTGCTGTTTATCCCCTCGCGCCGCTAGGCAATCTTTGTGCCACAAGGCTTATTCTCGTCTGGTTTCGTGTTTCAGCGGCATCTGTTTGGCCCTACAGCTGGCGGGGTGGGCACATGTAGGCACTGTTTTGTACCAGTACTCCAGTACTTGTTAGGGGCCGCCTGCGCGTTCGAATTTGACCTGCTGTAGGACTTGGTAGTCCGCCTAGCCTTCGGTAGGTTAATGAGCAGCAGGACTGTGCGGCACACTTGCTCCTCAAACCGATGGATCCCACTAAAGGAAAAGATGACACCACCCGGGAGCTTTTACCGCTTCACGACTTCCATCCCTTCCCGGCCGCCGCCTCCTGCACCCCACGCAACATGTCGCCCTCGCACGTGCAGGGCACGTACATCTGGCCCGACGGGCGGAAGTACGAGGGCTTGTGGGAGGAGAACCGCATGCATGGCTTGGGCGTCTTTATCGACGCGTCGGGGCACGCGTGGGAGGGGCAGTTCTTCAACGGCAGCGGGCCGGGGCTCACGGCGCTCGTGTGAAGAGAGGGCAGTGGTATAACACCGGCAGCAGGGCGGACTGGGGCTGCGTGAGGTGGCTGCGTGAGGTGGTTTGCTGTGTTAGTGTGTGGTATTGGAGTGTGTGGTGTTGGTGGTGTGGTGGCCGTATGTATCTCCGTTTCTGCTGTAAAGGAGGGGCTGGTGAGGAGCAGGGGAAAGGAAGGCAGCTGTGATGTTGGGGCTGCTGTAGAGGCAGCTTGCAGGCTGTGGAGAGGAGGCCAGGACATGAGCTTTTTCCATGAATTGTGCGGCTGTCTGCGCTGCACCGTTGCGCGGGACGGGGCCCCTGGCCTGGTCGCAGCTTATCCCGCATGGCCCGCAGCAGATGAGCCGCGGCGTGGCATGGGTGAGCAGGGTAGAAGCGGGCGCAGCAGTGAGGCCATGGAGGAGACTGCAGTGGCTGTTGGGGTGGCGGTGGCGCGCTCGTCGCTTCGAGGCACCCAACAACGCCAGCGCACAGCGGCTGTCGCCCCCTTGCTCCGTGTGTCGCTGGGCCATGTGCATGACGGGGCGTGTACCGGCATCCTTAAGAGCCGAGGGCTCCTGCTGTTGCGGTTCCTGCGGCTGTGTAGCCGGGGAGGGGACGGCGCTGGTGCACGTGCGAGTGGCACTTTGGAGAGCATAGCGGTGCTCTCCAAATCAGCGGGGATGCCGACTATGGCCATCCTGGCAGATCTACGGTCCCGCGGGTTATTTTTATTTTGACTTACATTGTGGAAAGGCTTCGCCTGCTGATGAAAACAGCGATTCTTTTTACTCTGGGAGCTCTGGCGAATATGGAATGGACTGTGTAATATTACGTGACCTGCCCCACCGATCAATGCGTGCGATGTGAGATGTGAGGTGTGTTGATAGAGCCTTGAGAAGGCAGCTGGATGCGATAGCATTACCTGGCTCCTAGGTTCTTGGGCCCCTACCTCTGGCTCGTATGGGCACTCGTAACACCTCTCTACCTGGGTAACGCAACCGAGGTGTAACACAGACACACACACAGACACACACAGACACACACAGACACACACAGACACACACACACACAGACACACACACAGACGCACACACCTTAGAATCGTGTGAAACCGAGTCGTTACCCCGCAGGCCCTCGGGGGCCGATGTACACATACTGGCCAGAGTAAGGCAAGCACCTTCTCCGTCCAACAAAACCAGATATACCCTCAACCGCCCTTGGCCCGAAACGAACGCTCGGTGGCACATTATTGTCCCGCCGGGGCTCTACATCCCGGAGTTCCAATACCTAATAACCTGGTTAGCCCAATGAAACTGCATTGGCCTCTAAGAGCCATAGCTCGCGGTGTACGTGTGCAATTAGTGGGTGGGGCAGTATGAGTTCGCTGTGGGTCCGGTCTTCATACCTACCTGCCTGCTTCAATCGTTTTAACTAAATGGGTCGCACATCCCTAGGGTCCGTACTACCTGTCTCGTGGAGCCCCGTGCGACCCCCCAGTTCCAGATCACCTCTACGGCGTGTCATCATGCAAGAGACGTATTATCTCCGGGCTATGTGATTCGGCCTCGAACTCTCGTAAGTCGCCACGAGGCAGGTTGGGAGCATGCGCGACTTCCAAACACCTTTTCCGTGCTGTAACAAGTTTTGCTCCTGCAATGTCTCAACACCTTGGGCTTCTTTCATCCCCCTTCCTTCCCCTGCGCACGTTCGAATACCCTCGAGGCCATACGACCCCGCTCTGTCTGGGGTACAAACTCATCGTCGATTGTGCGGACAAAATGCATGCCTCTTTCTGCCGCCGCCTCCTCCACCTCTGCTGCGCGTCCGCCGCGCCGATAACCTCCGCCCCCATGGCTGTCCTCTGGTAAGGGCCCCGATGTCAGTTACGACGACTATCTTTGTGTGATGTCTACCAGTGGGAGGAGGTGATGGCGGGAGGACCGTTTACATTATCAACACCTTTCTACGCAGGCTTGATTGGCGGCCGCAAAAGAGAAAATCCCAAGGAAAGCGGCAGGGCGCAGTCGAACCAAGTTCCTGGGATGCGCGCACACAGACATACACACAGACATACACACACATACACACACATACACACACATAACACGCACATACACATACACACACACCCCAAGGGCCGGATCAGGCCGGGGATGGAGAGGAAGTCTCGTTTCGTGTTTCAGGCGCAGCGCGCGAACTCGCGGAGGAGAGCGGAGGAGAGCGGAGGAGAGCGGAGGAGAGCGGAGGAGAGCGGAGGAGAGCGGAGGAGAGCGGAGGAGAGCGGACCTGCGGCTCTCGGCTGCTTAGGAGGGGCCAGATGCCCCTTGCGCAACTCTCCCGTCCGCGGGAGAGAGCTTTGTGATCTCCACTTTGGACTCCAGCCCCCCAACAAAGTTTAAACCAAGTCCAGTCGCTCCCCCCTCTCCAAAGAACAGCCGCCCCGCAGCCCGGGTAAAGCCGGGGTAAAATGACAATCACAGCTACCGCCACTATCACCACGCCGCACTTCGCGGCGCGCCAGCGGATGCGGACTCCAAATCCTACCCATAAGTACACATCCGGTTGCAAATTTTTTGGAAATGCTAACACTCCTCCTGACTCCTATCTTGGGCTGAGAAATGCTCGTACTTTCGTACTACGGTCCAGTATCCGAATTTCCGCTCCCCCAATCCTGAGAACACACATCGAATTGTAACAATGTTTTCCAAAAGAAAGACTACTGCAATCTCCCCCAGCTTATCTTTTCTCAATCCGAAATTACGTTGAGCAAGGCTGCCGCCACTACCGCCACTACCGCCACTGCCGCCACTGCCGCCGCCAAGGCTGCCGCCACTGCCGCCACTGCCGCCGTCCCCGCCGCACCCATTCAAGGCGCCGTCGCCGTTTTGCGCTCCGACGGGGCCTCCGACGCCGGCAGAGTCGCGAAGTACAAGTTGTTGGTTGAGCCGCAATAACTGGCGCCGATGTTGCTTCTGTGTACAGCAGCAGTACGGAGATGTTCACGGACGGCGTCGCTGTCAAACCAGGCGTCAAGATGAAGCGCAGCATTCCCAACTCTCGCATCCCAATTCTCGAGGCACGGCACACCTCATTGAGCAATCACACACAACTCCCAACACCCGATCTCCCTGCTACCCCATCTCCACTTCACCCCCTCCTCCCGCCCCTGCATCTTTCCCCCTTCTCACCCCTCCCCCCATCATCACCCCCATCCCCAGATGCGTGCGCCAACTCACCGCTTATCCAGCAGTACCATGGCCCCAATGCCCGCCAGCATCACCCGCTGGTGCCGGACATCCAAACCCGTGGCAGCGGCCAGCCGGGTCTTCACCACATGCATGGGCGTGTCGGACTCCAGGTCGATTGTCACCTTGATCACATACATACATACACACACACACCGCGTGTCCCCGTGGGTAGGGAAGCAGCGGTCAGAGAAACTCAGAAAGCACTTCGAAACGTGCAGGGAGGGAGATGGCCCTGGGCGAGCGGGCAGGTGCAGAACGATTGCGATTGCGGATTGCGGATTGCGGATTGCGGATTGCGGATTGCGGATTGCGGATTGCGGGGGAACGGGAGCTCCTGCGCGGGAGGGTGGGTGAGGCTGTGGCTCATCTGAGCTCGCTGCTACATGCTCTGCCTACGCGACCCTTCGATGTCTCTCTCTCCATATATTTATACCTCCCTCTCTCTCCCTCTCTCTCTCTCCCCCCCTATGTCCCACCGCAGGTCCCCCAGGGGGCTTTCGTGACCGAGCCGTGACCGAGCTCCCCCTCCCATGACGACAACACGCGAAGACTCGGGGCCAGCATTTTCCTGACAATCGTCAAAGTCACCACTGATGACTTAACTTTGTCGGAACGCCTGTGCATGCACCAGGCCCGCATGTCTGGACGTTAGCGACTGTGTCCTTCCCAACATACTTGTAGTAGAAATACGGCACCAACAACCGACAACCGACAACCGCCGACAACCGACACAGTGATCTCGGTGCCGAATATGGGCCAGTGGTGGGATTGCTAAGACGCCAGGATGGTGTTCCTCACATGTCGTACCTCGGAGCCGGCCGCCGCTTTGGGTGTGGGGGTCAACAGCTTCACCTTGACAGGCTGCCCACCGACCAGCCGCACCGACAGCTCCAACGTGTCGTTCTGCCTTACGCCTTGTTCGTATAGGCTCCCGCCGTGCGACCGTAGCGGCCGGCCCCCGAGGGTAGTCAGGATTTGCTCCTCAACCGGTATGCCCAGGCGCGCCTGTACCAACAGCACCAACAGCACCACCATCGCCATCATCACCATCATCACCAACAACAACAACAGCACAAGCAAGGGCTGTGTACTGCTGCTAGCCTGGTAAGACATGCTACAGGGGGCTACAGGGGGCAGCCTTCTCCCCACCACACTATCTCCCACCTAGCAGGGCGGGGGGGGAGGGGGAAATCTCTATTTTCGCGGGAAGATTCATAGTGTTGGGAAGGGGGCCTTCGATATGGTCCCAATCCCCCCTCCCCGCGGCGCCTCACTCCCCACGGGGGGCCCAATCTCACAGCTTGGCAGTGTAGGGTTGGAGGGGTAGCTCGGGTGCGCGGGCGGGATGTGCGTATGTATGTTTGTTTGTGGGGAGGGATAAGGGCTATCCTCCCACCTGCACGGCGGTCCGTAGCTGTTGTACGGAGCCTCCTCCGTCGTGCTCTGCGCCTCCCACATCCGCAGCCATGGTGCCGCCGTCCAGCCCCCTCACGAACACGCGCATGGTAATGGTGGTGTGTATACTGATGTAACAGCCTGTGGTGGCCGCGGCCGTGGTGATGGCGACGCTGATGGTGCGTGGTAGCGGGGTTTTCTGATGTCGGGGCAATGGACAGTGCCAACTGATGGTGATGGTGATGGTGATGGTGACGATGATGGTGACGATTTTGCTTTAAGTGCCCGGTTTGGTCTGGAAGTCGTTTGCAACACTCTGGTGTTTGGATCAGAAGGAGAATCCAGGAAGGCCGTTAGTTGGGTGTGGACTTAGTTGGTTTTTTTCCAGATTTCTACTGGGTGGTACTGTACTGTCTGGGTTTGGAGGATAGGAAAACAGGGTCATCTCAGAAGCATCTGGGATCCCGGGGGAGAGAGCTGACTGGGGGACTAGAGCTACGGCCTTTCACGTGGCTCTGTACGGCTCTGTACGGTCCAGCGCAGAAGCAATAGGACTGCTTAAATAGGTGCCTGTCGAGGTGACAATGTCGGTGGGCACTTAGGTTTAGACTTTGGCGAGAGAGGGAGGTTTGTCCAAATCGGCAGTACGGACTGATCGTGGGAAGGCGACGAGGCAACGCGTGTCCGGACATGTTTTCGCAAATGGTACTACGTGTCGTACAGAAAAAACCCGGCGAAACGTGTCTCATCCCAAAAAGGCCGAATAATAATGGTGATATTAGCGCCCCTGAACATTTACAGATCCGCACGCATACGCGTTTCGCCGACCATTTAACGATTAATTATAAAACCTCCTCATTAACCCAGCCTGTTCCCCAACAGTGCTCTGTGTGTGTGTGTGTGTGTGTGTGTGTGTGTGTTTGTGTGTGTGTGTGTGTGTGTGTGTGTGTGTGTGCGTGCCTGCCTGTATGTGCGTGTGTGTGTGCGTGCGTGCCTGTATGTGCGTGTGTGTGTGTGCCTGTATGTGCGTGTGAGCATGTATGTGTGTGTGATTGATCCGCATTGCCAGCAACACACCTGGATGGCAAAAGCTCCTTTCTTCTTCTCGGCGGTTGCGGCAGCTTGGCTGTGTGCGCTTCTATTCCTGTCTTCACTGTCAACTGAAGCTACATAAAATATGATGTATGGTTTATCTAAACATCATACATAACACCCGCAGTAAGCTATCGAAAAAATGGAAATTGAAGCCTTTGTCAACTCAAACATAAGCGCACGCGCCCGTCAAGAAACCGAACCAGACAGAATTTCAGAGATAGCAGCGCCGGCCAATCCAATGCTCTCGCGCGTCTTGTCTTGGGAGGACCGATACGGAAAAGAAAAAATGAAGAAATGATGAAAAGCGCGGAAATACGAACTGACGACTGTCGCGACCCCTCCTGCTGGAAAACCCCCTCCGATGCGAAGCTTCTGTACGTTCTAGAAATGCCATACAAGTGTAACGCCCGAAGAAATGACCGCCCGAAATAGCTGCCCGAAAAATCATACGACATCACATATCAAAGGGGCCGATGCACCTGCGGGGGCTCCCGCATTCCTTCCCAATCACATCCAAAGTGCCGCCTGGCGGATGACTAGCCTTTTGCGTTTTGGGTCTTTGCGGTTTGCGACCCCGATTTGGGCTCGAGTGCCAAGAGGGCCCTTCAAGGGACCCCTCCCGCATAGCTCACACCGCCTCACGGTCCAGATCGACACAGCAGAGCCGGCGAGCCGCACTTTTGTTGGCCTAGTCGAGCTCCAAACCAATTAAAAATATGCAAATATGCCATGCAAAAGTATGCATCGAATACGAGCCGAGTTCCAATGCCGTTACTCGCCTCAATTGACCGACTAAAAGCCCGCGGCTATGAAATCAGGATGACAACGATGCGGCGTTATTGGATATAGATATAAATCATATTGTGCGCGGGAGAGGGCTTCGCGGCGCTCTTTGACTCGAAAGGAAGGCAAAGCAGGCAGGCAGGCAGGAATAAGTTAATATTACAACACCCGCGCCTCAGATGGCCCCCTCTCGCTCAACTCTACTCAACGCTACTCTGTCCAGCCATGCTGCTGCCAGCAGTCGTATGTCCTGTGTTTCTTTCTCTAAGCGATAACCCCCCGGGAGGCACCAATTGTAAATTTTTGTAAATTTTTGTGCCATATATATGTGTTGGTCATTGTTATATCTCTAAAGGCGTCCGTACAATCGTGGCTCCTACATCCACCTCCTCGGACTAACTCACCACCGCCGACCTTAATCTTAACCCCCGGGTGCATCCAGACACATGCACACATACATACATACATACATACATCTACGTGCGCAAATAAGCAAAAGGGTAGAAATCACCGAAATGCGAAGCTGATTACGAACGGACGCATCATCAAGCAAACACCACTTCTTTGCAACAAAAGCACTGTAGCAATCGCTGTAGCACCTGGGGTTGGCAAGGCCGCTGCAGCAGAGACTGAGCAAAATGCAAAGAAAGGTCAAAGAAAGGTTCCCGATCAAAAGGCACATGCTGTAGCTATAGGGCCCAAGCTTGACTAGAAGTAACGGTCCACCGTTCTTGTTTAAGACATGAAAAAACACGGCTTTGGCTATCGTCAAGACCGCCACCCTCTACGCCACCACCATCACCACCACTATCACCATCATTACCTTCTTACCACCGTACCAGCGCACCCACCGGTATACTTTTGTGTTACCCTCTCAACCCGCCACCGCGAGGGGATAGATAGGGCGGGAGCTATGAAAGGAGACCAAACTCAGGCCAAACAACCCCCCCTCCCTTCTGTGCCGCATTTTTCCGCCATCCGCCTCGTCACCTTGTGAAGCACAACACACATTTACTTGCATGCCCCCTCGCATACCGGAACCTTGTCGCGTGTCAACGGAAACACGTGCACCACCACCAGGGCCATAGGGCCCCACCAGCACTGCGTTTTTTCTGGCCCGGAACCCCCGCGGCCCCACCCCACCCCCACCCCCGCGGCCCCACCCCCACCCCCACCCCCGCGGCCCCGCCCCAACCAACCCAATCCCACAACCCATCATTTTCCATCCCTAAAGAAAAATGAAAAGGAATCTAAAGAAATGCAAAAAACAGCCGTCATCCGCCCACTCGATAAGATGATAAGGCCCAGCCCTGGAGGCCCCCTACGTCCTCCTCCTCCTCCTCCTGCCTCCTCCCGCCTCCCACGAAGGTCCACACGACCATAGGCCTCACAGCACGTGCACACGCCACCTGATGGCCTCTTCTACACGCCCCTAGCTCAGGAACCGACGTGGTTCGTGTGTGACAACATAAATGGTAATGGTAATAGTGGTGGTGGTGGTGGTGGTGGTGATGGTGATGGTGAAGAGGACGATGACGATGATGATGATGACGCAAGGAGGTGGATGATACGGTTGTGTTGATGATCTGTTGTGATGATAATCATCCTCAAGCATACACCGGGGGGTGAGTCCCGCAGGCCGGCAGCTTTTGTTTGAATCACCCCTCGACCGTGGCCTCAAAATTAACCGCAGATCCTGTGACTTATTGTCCGGTACTATATGCGGGCGTTTCCACAGAGCTCAGAAGCACGGTGCGGCGGAATTTCAAAATTTTGACCCCCGCCCCCCCAGGGTCAATCTCCCTACTCTGCAACGGTGGCGATGGCAGCGGCAGCAGCAGGGTACCGCTCTAGAATGTACGACAACATGACGCCGCCGTCGGGCAGCGACATGGCGACATCCAGCGGCGTCACAACCCCATCTGCCACATTTGCCGTTGCCATTGGCGGTGACGGCGGTGACGGCATCCACGGCCCTGGTAGACGTGCGAGCGTTGTCCATGTGCCGTACATGCCGCATGGATGACCGTACACACCGTACATCTGGGCCGCCGCCACCACGGCGTCGACGACGGCCGGCACACCGCTGCCGACGGCGCAGTGCAGCAAAGTGGGCTCCATGACGCCCACCATACCATAATGGAATTGCTCGGCCAGCTCCAACCGCCAACCGTTGTACGAACATGCGCTACCGCCACACTCGCCACCTGCCACCATGCCATGTTGCCCTAGCAATAGCTGAACCACCGTCAGCCAACCGCACTGTACGGCATACTCCAACAGACGCCAGTGCCGCTCCTCCCGTGCGCGCCGTCCCGCGCTTGTCGTATCTGCCTTGCCCTGCGCCAGTCGTACGGCATCTGCGATCATGGCCGCCCGCAGGTCCAGTCGCGCCCCGTCAAGCATTCGGGGCCTGGAGGCTAACGGCTCTGTGGCCTCCGCAGCCGATGCTACAGCCACATACCGACTCGACGTGTCCAGGGAGACTGCTGCTACAGTTCGTCCGATGTTTCCTTCTTCTCCCGCTCCTCCCCCCTCCAATCCTTCCGTTCCCACCAGGGCCTCGGTGCCGCCGCCACCGCCACCGCCGCCGCCGCCGCCGCCGCCACCGCCGCCGCCACCACCTTCCTCTGTCCGGTGCCAGTTTCTATCTCCATCGCCAAACGAAGTCCCCGAACCAACCTCCGGACGGCACACTCCGCCAGTGCTGGATACGTCGTACACGTACGGCAAGTCCTCCGAAGCGGATGGCAGACTGCCCCACGAAATTGCACGTGGCATCGCATCGCTGTTGTTATTATGATTGTCATCATTATTATCATTGTTATCGTTCTTCACACCCGGACCGACCCCCCTAGTGGTGTCTTCTGGACACCGTGTCGTCAGCTGTGTATGGCTCGTGGTCAATAACCTGACTTCGCTTTCAGTATCCGTACTTGGGACGAGACCGTATGCCGTCCATGCCCACCAGGTACTACTGGTGCCGAGTGCACTAGTGCTGAGGGCTGCAGTGCTGCTATGTCTGTTGCCGCTGCAACCCCAGGTTTCCGCCGCCGCTGCCACCGCAGTAGCACCAGCAGTAGCAGCTGCAGCCGACGGTGGCGGCGGCGCCGTCCAGCCCATCTCCTCGGTCAGCGCCGGCCGCGGCGAACACGGCGGCGTCGCCAGCTGGAAACCCGTCGGGGTCACCGTACGGGGCAGCAGGGCTGTCGTACCGCCGTGCGATAGTAGCCAGGCCGCCAGGTCAGTAAGGAAATCTACCACAGACTGCACGCCGTCGGCGTCGCGTTCCGTCAGCATCGCCGTCAGGTCCTCCGTCAGGGGCTGTAGCAGCTCGTCCGCAATGGCGGCCAGGCCCGGCGGCAGTAGCAGCGCACAGCCGGCAAAATCCCTCGGAGGCGCCGGGGGTACGGCGCCGCTGCCTTCTGCCGACACCACTTCGTCGCCACCACTACCCCCGAATCCAAAAGAAAGCAGTCCTGTGGAAGAGTGGGTGTGTGCGTGTGTGTGTAATTAAAAAACACAGGACAAGATATACAGATTACCTGCATAAATGTATTTATATTCGTGTTTATATTTATAAGATATATATTTAGATATAGACATATAGAGATGCCTAGCAGGCCCACGGAAATACGATCGGTCGTTTTCCCCCCCTTCCATTCCCTCGCTTCCGTACCATACTGAATATCGCGGGCATCCACTCGTACTCTGTACGACCGAAAGGCCCTGTTCCTGAGTTGATTGCGCAGATGGGCCCCCCGGGAGGGCTGCCGTACGCCCTCCTCCCCCTCCTCTTCCTCCTCCTCCTCCTCCACAATGGTGACCTGCGGGGCGGGTGCAGGGGAGCTCACTGGCCTGGCGGCGGCACCAAGAGTGCGTCAACACCACCGGAGCGCGCCACCGAGCTACATATTCATGTACTTGACGTTACGACATCTGCAATGTACCGCATCATCCAAAAAGCCTACATACATACATACATACAGATTCCGGCAATTTCCCGATCCATATCCTCGCGGCTTAGTTGTAACCACCACCACCACCACCACCACACAAATAACAAAACGAAGATGTCGCCGTCAGCCGGAAAGTCATGTACAGGGAGAATGTCGTGTACATGGACATCATATCCTCGCAGCTCGGTCATACATACATACACACAGACAAGCGGTGTGTGCTTTGCGTACGGGAGTTCTTACCGGCAGGAAGCAACCGCGCTGCCAGGCGACCACTTCACGTAACGGGGGCGGCATTGGCGGCGATGTGGGCCCCGCCGCGTCGCAACTCCTACCTAAGGCCCTGGCAGACGGGAGGCTGTGGTGGTGGTGGCTGACAATCAGCGTAAACTCCAACTGGGTGGCCGCTGCACCGCAAAAGACACCCTCAGCTGCCGCCGTTGCCGTTGCCGTCGCCGCCACCGTCGCCGCCACCGGTACCGGAAGTGCACCCACCGCAGTCGTGCAGTACGTTAGATCTTCGCCGGCGGCAAAGCCCTGCCGGGTCGCGGCCAGCGGCGCCAAGGTCATACACGGCGGCAGCACGGCAGCCAAGTGCGGCCGGGCGGCAGCGGGGGAGAGGGCAGTGGCAGCCGCACCACACAATGCCTGAGATGCGGCTGCCGCGGGGAGAACAGGATGCGAGTTGCCCCGGTCGTCGACTACCGCGGTGTAGGCGCTGTGCTGTGGAGTGGGGGCGGCGGCGGCGGCGCTAGCGGCGGCTCGTGTAGCACGTGATGCTCTCGCTGGGGAACGCGGGTCAGCCATCGCGGCGTCGCTGCCGCCGCCGCCGCCGGACTCAGGGCAACCGACCACGTTAGCCTCATCAACACAGCCGCCGCCGTCACAGCAGCTGCGGCGCCCAGCGGCAGGAACGTTGGTCCCGTCGTCCACGCAGACGCGCCAGGAGTTAGGGTTCACCTGACCGCCGGCGTCGCCGATGTCGCCGACAAACGTTACTAGGTACGACACCCCGGCCACATGCACCTGCACGGGCCGCTTCGCCGCCGCAGCGGCAGCGATCCCACCCGTCGCCGCCGCCAGCACCAAGACAACACGACGGACAAGGTCAACGTGAAGCTCACTGTCGTACAGGCGACCGCCGCCGCCAATGTCATGCAGCTCCAGAACTGCTTCAATGCAGCCGCTGCGCACCGCTAAGTCCCCCAGCAAGAATCCCCGCGTTCCCAGATCTTCCGACAGTACGGCAACCACTCCGGGATGCAGCTGCTGTGGCGTCACGCCACTCATCTTGATATGCATCCTAGTTGGTTTGACGACGGAGCGGTAACGCAGCTGCGGCTTCAAGCGGTAGCGCGCCACACACCAGCCCGGGACGGCGGCCGCAGCCGAATCACCTTCTGGCTGTAGCAGCACAGCCGCAGAGCTACCACCGCCGCCGCCGCTCATACCGGCGCCGGCGACGGGCAATTGCACAAGACCTGCATGAGACTCGGCGGTTCTAAGTTTGGGCGCAATGGCCCCTAATCCTCGAGCTCCATAGACAATATCATGATCACCGTCATCATCCACCGCGGAGGTTCCCGCGATGGTGTCGCCGTCAGCGTCCGTACAGCTGGTGGCGGCGGCGGTGACAGTTAGCGCCGCCGCCACGGGCACCGCTGCTGCCGCTCTGCGCTGGCGGAGGGTTCCCAGCCGCCGCGCCGCCTCCGTCAGCACTTTCCGGGTGCGGCCGACCCCCCCTCGATGACCTGGCTTTTCTCCGTCAGCAGAGCCTTGGCCGAATATATCCGCTGAGCCCCCGGCTGCGCTGGGGCCCTTGGTGTCCATTTTCCGTGGTGCCGCCGCGGTAGCTGCGGACCAGAAAGGGAGAGAGAGAGAGATAGAGAGCGGGCGCATTGTAACCGTTCGTGTACGTCATTTTTATGGTTCCTAGACGCACAGTTCGTATGCAGTTACTTTGTATGGTTGGTGCGTTTCATGTGCTGCCGTGGCGACGACGGTTGCGATGGTGGGTCCAACGCCCATATTCGGTATTGAAGTCCACCAGGCATATCGGAGAAAAAATGATACTGCCGAGACCGGCAACACCCAACAGAGAGTATATGTATCACCACCACTCATTGCTTAGTCGTCAACCAGCCTGCGTGTCGGTGCGTCCTAACATCAGGGAGCACAGGGCAGCGTTGCTACCCCCTAAAAAACCCGGCCATCCCCCTTCCCCCTCCCCCTTCCCCCTTCCCCTCCCCCATCCCGCACACACACACACACCGGGGCGCCCCGCAAGCCGCCAGTCCCAGGCAGCCGCCACCGCCACCGCCAACACGCTGAGCAGGATCAAATATACAGACACGGCCGCCGGCGTGCGCGACACGCCGCTGTACGGCCAAGGCAGTCCCGTACGCGTGGCTGCCAGGTGAATGATAACCAGCATGTGGAGGACGTACAAGGCGGAGAGCAGCGCCTGACGCCGCCAGGACAACTGAGAGACAGAAAAGAACAGAACAGAACGGAACAGAACACAAAAGAGAGGATCAAGTAGTCAAAGCAGGTCGCAGCGCAGCGCAGCACGGAAGCGCGGGGAGCCCTAGCTACTTCACAGCTAGCAGGTAGCGCACAAAGCTAAGTACGTATCTGTCGGGAAAAGCTTTCGGGCGGTGGGATGGCTGGCGGTGGGATGACGACTCGCTCACGGCTCCGTGATGAACCCCCGGGGCCACCGCAGCAGACGGCACCGTGCCCCCACCACAGCCCGAGCCGCCAGCCGGCCGGAACTCAAGGCAAGGTGCACAAACTCCCCAAAAATCCGACCCACACCTCGTCACATGCAACCATCACATCAATACAACCTTCCAAATCACACATACATACATACATACATATATACATACATATATACGTACATACATACATACATACATACATACATACACACATACACACAAGCGTATAGAGTTACATATACATGTACGTATACATACACACGCACCCTGCGCCTGTTATTATCCCTAAACCCCGGATGCAACCCCCCACCCCCTTAGGGGGCCCCTACCGGAAACGCCAGAGAGAGCCAGAGCGCAATGGCCGTGTGCCGCGGCAACATGGTGTTGACTGCTGAGCCCATGCTAGCAGAGGGTCGGGCGAGGCCGTAGCCGATAAGGAAACCCTTGGGGAGGAGCACGCACGTCAGCAGCCAGGCGAGACGCCAATTGCAACTGCGGCGCGCATCTGCCGTGGCGGGTCCCAGCGCGACGGCGAGGAGGCCACCGATGAAAAATGTGGCGCAGCTGAGGCCGTCGTGTCGGTCAGCAGGATCCCTTGGCTGGAAAAGAACCACCGACAGGATGGTTCCGGGATTGCGCCAATGATACCCGAATCGGCGCCATAAGCAGGCTGGCGGACAGGGGTATAGTCCTGGATCATCACGCCCGCACACCTGGTGATGATACACCTTCCATGCATACAGAGCATAGAAGGTGAAGAATGTTGCCAGCTTGCCGACCTCGCCCAACCTCGTGCGGATCCAAGCAGTTGCCGATTGCATGAGACGAGAAGAAGACAAACTCATATTTTGTTGTGTCAGACAAACGAAAGAAGGCCTAGTGGAGCACTCTCCGAGCGAAGAAACTAAGCGTGGGAGCTGAGGGTTGCAAAATGAGAAACATCCAAAATTCAAAGGCTTCTCAACAAGCCGCCAACAGGTCTCATTTCGGCTAAGCTCGTGGAGGCGACACGGCCGGACAGCTCGCTATGCGTGCCATGATGTGACGGACTGCAGGAACACATGCTGACTCAATCAAAAAACGTAGGGAACTACAGGAATGGATATCATAGTGGTGGCTATCACACAGTCAGCATTACTACGAGGGCACAGAAACGATATCCGAAGAGCACATGCACATGTTATGATAGGCATAATTCTAAGTAACAGTAATAGACCGACAGGTATGGCCCAGGCTGTTCATACGAAGATACAGTCCAATTAGCCTTGGAGCAAGTAGTAGTAATACTACACAGTTTTCAGGAAAATACAATTAACCATAATCCACAAATTATCCTTTGCGCCATCACTCTCATAGTTTCTACGAACCATAAGGTTATTGATGCTGTATTGCAAGCCGAAACTTAGGCTTCATAAGCCTATAAGCGATTCGGTTCATAATGAGTACAGCCTGGTCGCCACTTTATTTTTCAAAGGCATTAGCCCATAATTTTGTCGTTAATGCGTTACAAGGGGACATGTTGGAGGAGGCACGATAAGGCCCAGCAAGCAGTAAAAACTATTTGCAAGGGAGTGTCACGTACGAGAAAAATAATGGCAGGTGGAGAGGTTGCGACAGATGTTCCCTCAGGGAACTTCCCTGCTGCATTCTGCCCTTCTTACTGTAAGTTACAGTATGCGATGTTAACATCGCATACTATGACATGAAACCTCACCGATTATGAAAAGGGCGATACATGATCCGGGTGGTGGGTTTTACAAAACAGTTACAGCGCAGGGAGCAACAACCAGATAATGAAAGTGAGACCCCCGTCATGATCCACGCTGTAACTGCTACAACGGAAAATGACCACAGACGGAAATGAACACATTCTCGACGAAAGCAGCTTACCTTAACTTTGCAAATTCATGATATAGAATGAGGTGCGCAACTACGAAGAAATGTATGACAGTGCTATCGGAACGGAATGCCGGAAGCAGTGTACCCTGGCTGGCCCCTCGCTGAGCATTAAAATTTTGCCTCATTGAAGGTAATGCCGGATTTTGAACCCCTCTTCTTGAGATGGCGGATGAGCATCTCTCAGGTGCTTGTTGCTGGTTACACATATCAAGCAAGGCTTCTTCCGGCCTTGGCTGCTCGATTCCGTTATCCGGTCGTTTTTGGCATCAACTTAGCAAATCCGTCTTCCACTCTTCTGGCTACCTATCGTAGAAAGGCAGACATGGAGATACGTTAGGAGATACGTTAGGGCAGCATGTGACAAGCCGGTGCGATAGGCTGTATGGATAGCAAGGGGAGGAGGTGTGATGGCGATTGAGCTGATGACCTGCGAGACAGTCAGGCATCGAGTCAACATCAGCGGTGGCGCTGGGATCTGGCTGCGGGGGTTCTACTGCCCACACGATCTCCTCGAGATGTGCAGCAGTGCGACCTTCGAGGTGTTCGCGCGTGGCCGTATCTGGATTGCCCATGAGTTGGTGGTGGGCCTTAAGCCTCGGGCTGACATGAGTTGGTGGGCCTCCAGACTCTCCCGCAACCGCAACCAGGGAGGAACCGGGGACGCAACCAGCAACGCTGCAGTCAGGAAACCTGGCAGCGCAAGCGCAAAGGGAGAGTCTGGCGGCCGTTGGTTGTGCTGTCTGAGCTGTGGTAGCGCTGTTGGGCTTTACGAAGGTCTGCCGGCAGTTACGTTCACCAGGGTTGCGCGTGAGATGGCCACCCCGCCAGCTGCAAGGTTGAGGAAGCTAGGGAGAAAGGTCTTCGTGTTCATAATGCAGGGCCAGCAGGAAAGAGTGCGGTGAAATTAAAAGGTTGATGTAGCTTTCAGGGACAACTATAGAACACCCTCGAGACAGGTTTAATCGGGCTGCGGAGGACAGCGCTGCGATGCTTGGCCAAAAACCGCTGCAGGGTTGTTCAGATAACTGCTACTGTTGCTGCTGGCACTGTCACCACGAATGACTTCGCCACCATCGTGGCCACCTGCACCCATACCGCCGGCACCAACAAGCTGTTCTTGTAGTTGTTGTAGTTGTAGTTGTTCTTGATGCGGCTGGGTTTGTTCGTGGAGCTGCCATGGCCGGGCTGTTCCGGCTACTTGAGCCTGAGTGTGGTGTCGGAGTGTTGGAGTGTTGGGAGTGTGCATGGTGTCGATACATATGTGTGTCAGTTCGTGTGTTCATGTCCTTGGGGGATGTGTGGACAAGGGGGTTGGGAAAAAAGGAAAAACCGGCGACACATCAGAAGACCTTTTTTTAAAGTTGTCTCTAGGCACACACATACACACACACACATACATACATACAGACATATGGACACACGGGCAACATAGCCCCTCTCAGATGCAATGCTCCATGTTTTCACATTCACACTCACACCAAAACAGCTGACATTTTTCCACATACACACACACACACAAAAGCACATAAGCAGACAACATGCACATGAATCAACAACTAACCAACCAACTCTCACACAGAGACACACACACACCAGACAGACACCCAGAGTCCCAGACACGACGGCACGAACCTGAAATTGAATCAAAATGGGACATTGCCAGGGCAGATATGTGGCCAGATCTGCTGGATCCAGGGATACGGCCCAGAGCCATCTGCAACAAGTCGGGTGTTGGCTTCCTTGAAGCGGGGCCCCTCTGCATCCGTGCAGGCCGGTAGCTAGGCACTGTAACACAGCAAAGGCGTAACCTGGGATGCTCAGATTGGCATTTGCATCGTTACAGGCACGTGTGACGATTGATGGGTAGTGTCAACATGGTGGGAGATGTGCTTGTTGTAGCAGTGCTGATGGTGTGGGAGCTAAGCTTGCACCACGGAAACGTCAGCACCGCCTGCGGGCTCCACGTGAATCACATCCATCCCGGGTGCATGGCGCATGGACAGTGCAGCAGACCGCAAGTCGGAAAGCCTGTGCGGGCAAATGGTAATGCAAGCTGGGTGTTCGAGTTATCATACGCTGTCATCTCAGAATTCAAGTATGAGATACGCGGTACCTTTTGAGATTAAATTTAGCCTGAGAGGCGTTGATGTGACTTTGACCTCGGCAGCCAAACTTGTTTGTGCTCATACGATCTTTGTTGGCTACAGGCGAGATACCTTGCAATAGAGAACGCAATATATTACCAACAACACGTTTCAGCCGGGCGAGATATTATGTTTGGTCCGTTACACACGGCCACACGGATATGGGCAATCCTACAGGTCGGGGGCCCCTGAGTGCTTCACGCTGGGGCCCCGCCCAAAAAGTACGACAGCACGACAACTCTACGGCCTGTCAGCATGCGGCATAGCCACAAGCGGATAGAGCGAAAAAAACCAGCCCGGGAAGTTAGGTAACTGACCACTAAACCGGTTTGGAGCTCGAGGGGTGGGTTGGAGTTATTAGGGCCTTATGATCTTACAGCGGATTACTGGGCTTGTAGTCCAACGTGAGGTTGTGGTAGACCTTATATCTTGGTGCTGGCTTGCACTGTGGGGTTTGAGCTGCATACAGCAATACAGCAAAGCTAGTAGTGCCCATGGGGGCCAAGCCAGGATGTAGAAAACAGGGAGAAGGGGATGAGGTGGAGGAGGAAAATAGGTAAGAAAAAATGTATAGGCGGGAGGGAGTTGACGAGAGCCAGGAGAAGGAATCCAGGAGGACTTAAGGATGTTGAGGTGGTTGGGAGCATGGTTTTGAGTGTGGGCCTTTGCTTGGTCGATTTCATTTACTGCTCACAAACAGTGCCATAACTGTCTACACATGTGCATGGAGAGTGGACACACGAACGAAGAAACGCGCCAACTCAGTGCATGAATCATGGTCTATGAGGGAGTTGTAACATATAGGGGGGGGGTCTGGGGGGGGCGTAGGCCCCCCCAGCGCCTCACAATTAAGGAATAAATAAAATCCAACCCTAGCAACTTTGTTACTTTAGGTTGGAATAAATTGAGACCCATCCTAAATGAAAAAAACCCTGGGCATGCTTCCTTATTAATGAACTTGCATGACCATCCCATTGCAGGCATGCTGTCTGTCTGCCTCATGTAGTGTTGTTGGGGGTGTTACACTGTGGGCGGTTCACCCCAAGAAAAGGACGAGCACGGGGGCCCTGACCGGGCCAAAACACAGCGCAGGAGTAGGCGCGCGGCTCTACATCCGTCTGTTCCTCTGTGTGCACCTCATTCCCTCACTCATGCCAACCAGGACGCTCTCCCAGCCCCTGGCTAGGCAACACAGCGGCACAGAAGACTGCAAACCGAATTAAGTGAGAGCCGCACGAGAGGCGCCACACCACCTCTGGGAGACCTAAGCAAGCTATCTGCCCCCACTACACCTGGCTAGCCTAATAGTGCGCTCTCATCTCTCTTGACCGCCAAAGCAAGAACAAAGCAAAAACACCACCGGGGGCAGGGGCTCTACTCGGGGGGCTCCACTACACACTCCAAAACCGAGGCGGGGAAAGACCTACCCACGTCAGGTACGGCCTCTCAGCAGACTCTCCTAGTCAAGGACCCCACGCAGCCAGCAAGGCAAGAGATACATGGAGGACCACGGGCCTGAGACGCCACACCACAAAACCAAGATGCGGTTGCACCGAGAAGACAAACACAACATGGGCACTCGTACACTGGACCTTTTTAAGGCCAGCTGTTCACCTACCACTAGCAACGGACACCTACTAAGGATGGCCACCACTACCTCACAGGTCCACTCTCAACCGAGGCAAAAAAAACTGGTCTGTATGGCAGTCTCCTCCTGGGGGTTGTGGGCTTCCAGGCGCAGCCCAGTGCAAGACAAAGCAAAAACACCTATTGCTGCAGGGGGGATGACAAGCCAGTGCAGCGCCCCCCTAAAAAGCCTGAGAAAGGCACGGCTCACAGACGCTGCCTGCTCCCACTTACCACACCGAGATCCCTCCCCTCCTGACCCTGGCCAGCCGGGACCAGCATCACCTGCTCTCCACCTCCACACCACTCTCCTCCACCGCTTTCCCACCTCCTCTCCACTCCCACAAGCCACCTACACCTTCTCTACTCTGATGCCAGACAGTACAGAACCCAATCCCCTCTCTTCAACAGGCCCCAATTCCCAGGGAGAGGGCACACACACGAGCACATGAACACACACAGCCCGGCTCCACAACTCCCCCTGCTAGACCACAAGCACATGAACACACACAGCCCGGCTCCACAACTCCCCCTGCTAGACCACGCGACCCTAGGCCAGGACACTGCCCGCTCGCCCAGCCCTCCAAATGCCCAGGGCCTCCCTGCTCTCCTCGCTCCCCACCTATCCCTACTCCTGGCTCTCTCACCCCCTCTCCCTCACTCTCCCTGCTCCCCTCCAAAAAGAGCCCCTGACTCCACTCCAATACAGCTATTTAGGCCGTGATTTCCACCAGTGCTGCACACTGCATCTGTTCCTCCACGACCACAGGATGGGGTGCTGCGGCCCGACTCTGTCCCAGCCATGTCTGGGGGTCTCCAGCATCGTGAACAAGCGCAGACACGCCCAGAAGTCTGCCACTACCCGGGTGTGTGTGCGGGCCAGTGGTGAGGCTCCTGCAGCACCCGCTGTTGCTGCTGCTGCCACCGCCTCGCCCCCTCCCGCCCCTGCTTCCTGTGTTGGCCCGTCATCTACTTACTCTTGCTGCAATGCACCTCCTGCCACGGGTGAAGAAGCCTGTAATGGCCTGCTGGCTGGATCTCTGCTGCTGGGGCTGCCCCATCATGGTTGCTGCTGCTGATGTCTGCAGGAAGGTCATTGCTGCCGAGCCATGGTCCGGTGGCCCAGGCGGTTGCCAGAGCCCAAGGCTGGAGTGCAGGGTGGCTGAGCTCCAGGTAGGTGGACAGCATGCGTACCCAGGGCCGCACTATTGGTTGCCAGTGCCAACTCCTCATCCCCACCTGCTCTCCCAATTAGTTCTCCACCCGCACCCCTACCTTCACAACCTGCTGCCAGCAGTGCTTGTGCAATGAATCACACGGCCCAAACTGTGTGGCATGCATGGATGTGCTGTCGGAGCAGAAGCAGGTCAAAACCCCCGGCTGATGGATGGCCTACTAGAAGGCTGCTGGGTACACCTTGTGTGATATCCATGCATGCCTCCCAGGGTTTGCACGGCCACCACACCTTCAGCTCCATGCCTTGCATGCATGGCCTCATGGCAACACCACCAGATATCCTGCCCTCTTAAGCAGCTGGTTCAAAAAGCAGGCCAGCTCTTCACAGCCCTCACGCCTGTGCAGCTCCTTAACGGCCGCAATCAGGTTCTCAGGAGGCGAACAGCCACCCTTGATCAACAGCTCTTTCCAGCTGTTCCGGTTCATCTCACACACCAGCGCCACGGCAAGCATGTGCCTGGAACAGGTGGAAGATGCTCATGTTGACTGCAGTACAGATGCACAGCCAAGCACACAAGCAAGCAAGCACCCTATCACCACATCCCACTGGAGTCCAGCTTACCAGTCGTACTGTGACTTTGCAGGGAGGCCCAGGAGTGTGCAGGGAGCAAAAAAGAGGGTGGTGGATGTCACTGGCGAGCCTGTGCGAACCGTGGAGCCAAAGTCGCCCAGCCACCACCTGCACCACACACATTGGTGAAAGGAACAGCTGAGCAGTAGAGGTCAGGAGTGCTACAAGCAGCTTGCTCTCACATATGTAATGGCAACAGCAACAGACAACAATGATGAGGCTACCAGCACCAGCTAGATCCCGTCCCCAATAGCAATGAGGTTGGCGCATCTGAGGATGCTACTGGGTGTGGGCAGTGCAGCCGCTTTGGCACAGTGTGTTATGCATATTTTTGGACTGATCCATTCCTGCCAATGGCACATCACATCTGACGTGCCCAGCCCAGGCCACATGCAGGGTGGCATCACAACAGGCAGGCTAGGAAACTGCAGCCCTTGACCCTGCACCAGCTCCACAGGCTTGCACCATTACCTGCCCTTGGAGTCCACGAATATGTTGTCTCCCTGTCCAGGGAGGTGTGGCAAGGAGTAAGGGTGGCAGGCAGTGTTATTTTTTTGCGGAATATATTCCGAATGAGGAATTAAAAAATGTGCAAGTTCATTCCTCCAGCCAACAATGGACTGTCCGTGCCAAAGCCGCTAGAATCTCACAGGAGATAAACATGTTAACCATATCATAGTACTTTAATGCCATGGATACTGCTAGGAATGCCATGGATACTGCTAGGACTGTTTCTGACTGGACCAAACACTGCAAAACATTGACCTGAAGCTCCCAAAGCATGTTAGGTCATTAAAGCAGATATAAAAAAATCACTGAAGCCATTAGCAATGTTAATGAAGACGGTATAGAGGTCATAGGGAATGTGGGTGCAATGCTGCAGCCAGCCGACGACAATGACACCACTCCGGTTGTCAACAGTGAGCAGGCCAAACATCAACGTTCGTCATATGGAGATGGTCCAGGAAACAGGCTGCGCTTGGTGATTCTGGTCCATTGCTGCTATGCATCATTACTTTTGCAACCCGGAAAGTCATGTAGTGTAATTTCTCAACATGATGCAAGACGAACGATGGTGAACAAACTCTATTCGATCAGTGTTTGAGAGATTGTGGTGTGCGCATGTTACAGCATTCCCCACAGCGTTTGCACGAAGTAAACTGTAACTCATCAGGCGGAGGGGTCTGGGGGGGGCGGAGCCCCCCCAGCACCTTACAGATTTGGAATACTTTTATTCCCGCGACTAAAAACCTATTCCTCCGTTCAGACTGGAAAATTCACCGGCAAAATTGAAAAGAAAAACACTGGTGGCAGGCCACCTAGCAAAAAATTAAGTGTGCAAATCACCTAGAACACAGACATCAAGAATCTTGTGCCTCGATGCCAGTCTCCCCTCTCAACTACTATACCTTGACATCCATGTGTGTGTACTCTTTTTGGTGAATCCATTCCAATGCTGCAGCCATGCGCCTGCCTCCCGCCAGCACAGCTGCTGCCGGCAGTGGCACCATCTTCACGAGAGATGACACATACCGTGGCATGCATAATGCTGCGTACAGGCCTGGAACACGGTTGACAGTGGACTTGTGCTCGGCACCGAGTTTGAAGGTGAGAATGTGTGCTGGCACCAGCGGCACAGATGCAGGCTTTGACTCCATTAGCGCCCGGCATGCCTCCGCCTCTGCACCACCAGGCTGCTGATCACTGTCAGCACTGCTTACTTGAGCAAGCAGCTTGACTATAACGGGCAAGCCTTCACGTGTCGTTCCAATCAGCAGGCTTGCACTGCCCTCAGCAGGGTTAGGAAACAGGGGCCCATTGACCCTCAGTCCATGCTGGGTGAGCAGGTGGCCCTCGGTAGAAGGTCCAGGAAAGAGCTCAGCCTCCCTGTACAGGTCCACCGCATCGTTGCAATCGCCAAGCACCATCATCCGGGCAGGGCAGTGCCGCATGATGAGGTTCAGCACAGCGGTTTTTGGCCTCTGGATGTTGCCAAGCGACAAGAGCTCAAGGAAACGCCTTTTGTAGTCAGGCAGCCCTGTATGAGGGAGCATGGAAGCATAATAGAGGGGGCCAGGGTTAATTGGTGCATGCATGTTCCATGTACACGGATGCAGTGGAGCAACTGGGCACAGCTAATCCTGGATCTGTTTCCAAAGTACCCCGAGCAGCCCATAACACTAATGCAGCCATTGACAACATGTTACTGTAGAGGCCAGCCCATGAGAAGCTTTGAGGACTGTTGAAAGTACCAGCACTGTTAGTGGGGCAAGCAACTTAACCAACATGCAGCAATGGTTGCACGAATTGATAACAGCACACTGCTATCATCAGCCTGCCATGCTGACCAAAGCTGCATGTGCCCAGGTGTAATGAAGGCCAGCACCACTGCTCTCAGCAAGCCAAGCAAGCGAATATTCTATTATCCATTGAAAGTTTCCTTTTTTAACATTAACGCTTTCTCCCCACGTCACCATGAGCTATCCTTTGTATTGGTGTTTATCTTTATCTTTTTTAATTGTCTTTCTTCTTTCTTTTTGTTTTTTTTAAGCAGCTACCAAGCAAACGATATGCAGGTATGACTGCCGAATAAAAACTTGAAAGCCGAGAACTTGAGCTGTTGTAATTCCGGTCAGACTTCCTAGGCTTTTATAGCTTATCGTCGCGAGAAGCTTTGTACTACGATTGGTGTGATTCCTAGTTGGGTCTTATCATACGAACTTGATCTATTGGTACTATTTGTACCCTGAGGCAAGACTTCTTTATCAAGCTGATTGTAACAACTATTGCTCATTGGGACTTTGGAGCGTCCTTCGAGTTAAGGCACAGTGTCAGCTCGCTTATCCAGCTCGTGCTTAACTGGATCTTGTGTCAGCTATTTCTAGCTATTTACGAATAGTCACAACAGGTTATGAGCCCCGCTTGATGTTGCGGTGGCTGCAGTGATCGTACGCTTTGTTGAGCTCATACGTTTTAACACCCATTTTGAGTCATACGTGATTCTGAGAGAATGTCCGACATTGCTGGTTGGAGAGATGTGCTAATGGTCGCCAACTCGGGCGACTGGTTCATCAAGATGAAGGCCATCTTGGAGTGCGAGGACCTGGCATCAGTCATCAGCCAGGACTACAATTTACCCGCGGATCCTACGGAGCGGGAGAAGGAGTTGAGAAAGATAAGGAAGGCTCGGGCGCTGATAATCCTTCGGCTTGCGTCCGTCGAACATAAGATTCTTATCGAGTCAACCACCGAAGCTAAGGATCTCTGGGCGGGCCTTGAGCAGTGGGCCGGGCAATTGAATGAGGCTGAGTTGGGCGCAGTCTCACAATCTTTCCACTCCATCACGATGCACCATGACGAAAAGGTGCATGACTATATTACCCGTGCGGTCAATATGTACGAGAAGCTAAATAGATATAAAGATTTCCACATTTCAAAGAAAAATGCGATTGTGCTAGTTGTTCGTGGCCTGCCCGATGCATTGTATGAGACGGAAAAGAGAGTTTTTGTCACGTCCTCCTACCCGAAGAGCTTTCTGGAGCTGAAGGAGAAGCTCTTGGCCATGGAGGCCAATCATCTAACAGCCAGGAGGACCGAGCCGGACATAGCCGTAGGGTTAGCTGCTTCGTTTGTGGCGGCAACCACTACACGAGGGACTGCTCAAAGAAGGTTAGCTCTTCTGGTCCCTCAGGCTCGGGTCACTCGCACGGTGGGTCAGAGCTGCGGTGTGATTGGTGTGGGAAGACGGGCCACCTGTCCGAGAAGTGTTATCGTAAGCGGCAGGGTTTGCCTAGGAGTGCCGAACGGAAACCGGAGGTCATTGTGCTGACGCTGGTGGCTCGAGAACAGCAATTCGTTCCCCAGCGGACGAGAGATGAGGAGAGTCTAGAGTACTACATGCGTAATCCGCCTAGGAGCGCATTAGTAGCTTTGGGGCGGGCACCGTTTATCGAGAGGATTCGAAGGGTAGTTGCACAGTAACCCGAGAACCTGTGGTGGTTGGACTCCGGCAGCAAATACCACGTTACTGGCGACCGGAGTATCCTTCATGACTACTGCAGGATTAGTTCGGATTTGTCGATTACGATCGAGGTCGGTAATGGGAACATGCTTCAGGCCGAGGGTTATGGGAATGTGGTGCCGACCCATGCCCCTAACATCACTATTGAGGGAGTTTTCTATGTGCCTAACTTTAAGCACAACTTGATCTCTGTTTCGGTCCTGACGAACAAGGGTTTTAGGGTTAGCTTTGAGGACTCGCAGGCTGTTATATCGAGGGGAGGCCTGCACATCTCTGCTACTAAATGTGCGTCAGGCCTTTACAGGTTCATGAGTAGTGCTGTTCCGGCTGCAGAGTCCTCCAGGCCTTCTGAGCCTGTCATCCCTTCCTTTTCTGCGAAGGCCCTAGATTCTGAGACGCCGGAGCTGTGGCACCGACGCCTTTGTCATTTGGGGATTTCAAACATGAAGAGGTTGGTGCAGGAGGGTTTGGTTAAGGGCTTGAATATTAACGCCGCTCAGTTAAGAGCTTTCGAGGTTAGGAATTGCGAGCCTTGTTTGGTGGGAAAATTTAGCCGCGATCCGTTTCCCACATCTACAACAGTAACTAAGAGACCGTTGCAGTTGGTGCATTTGGATGTATGTGGTCCTTTGCCTGTGTCCTCGAGTGGCCATAGGTATTTTGTTACTCTGTTGGATGACTACACTGGGGTGTCGTTGGTTCAGCCCATTAAGCATAAGTCTGATGTCCCGGACTTCATTGAGAGGGGCGTAAATTTGTTACAAGTGCAAAGTGGCTCTACTTTACAGGGCATGCGAACTGATGGAGGGGGGGAATTCGTGAACGCAAAAATAAAGGAATTTTGCAAGCAACGGGGTATTAGGCATGAATTATCCGCCCCGTACACCCCCCAACAGAACGGTAAAGCGGAAAGGTTAAACCGTAATTTGTTGGATAAGGTTAGGACGATGCTGGTGGACTCTTCGGTACCTAAGAAGTTTTGGAACGAGGCTTTGGGTGTTGCATCTTTTGTTAGAAATCGATCACCTGTTTCGGGGAAATCAAAAACCCCATATGAGTTGTTGACGGGTGAGGTTCCTGATGTGTCTTGGTTTAAGGTATTTGGCTGCATAGCATACGTTCAGGTTCCCAGGGGTCAGGGTGGCAAGCTCGACCCAAGGGCCTATAGGGGCACCTTCCTAGGATACGAGCCGAACTCGAAGGCATATCGGATCTTGGTCGGTGATGGGCGTATTATTGTGTCTCGAAACGTCGATTTTCGTGAAGATATGTTTAATTTTCGTGGCCGCAACGGCGTTTCTGAGGCATCTGCGTCTGATTATTGGTTTGTCCCTGCTGCTGGTGCCCCTGCAGGAGAGGCGGGTGAGGCCGGCAGGGTTGTCCCTGTGGTTGCTCATGCTGCTGGTGCCCCTGCGGAAGAGGCAGGAGAGGCCGGCATGGGTAATGCAGGTGTTGCTCCCATTGTTCCTGCTGCTGGAGCCCCCGCGGGAAATGCGGATGAGGCCGGCATGGACACTGAGGAGGACCTTCCCCCTCTGCTGGAGGAAGATGAGGGGGAAGAGGAGTACAATGAGGGGGAGGAACTTGAGTTGGAGGCAGAGGCAGCTGAGGTGGAGGCAGCTGAGGTGGTGGCAGCTGTGGTTGAAGGAGAAGTTATAGCTGCTAGTGGAGCTGGTACCTCCACTGGTACCTCCGGCCCCCTTGCTGCTACCTCCGCCCCCCTTGCTGCTACACGTTCGTCTACTAGGACCAAGCAGCCGAATTCCCTTTTTAAGGACTATGTGATGATAGCCAAAGGGGCAGAACCTCTAGAGCCTAAATCTCTAGCTGAGGCGAAGGCACGTGCGGACTGGCCTCAGTGGAAGGCGGCTATGGATGAGGAAATGAAGTCGTTGTTAGAAAATCGTACTTGGGAACTTGAGGAATTGCCTAGTGATGCTAAGAAGATTGGCTTGAAATGGGTATATAAAATCAAGCGGGATGGGAGTGGTAATATTGAACGTTATAAGGCTTGTTTGGTAGCCAAGGGTTTTACACAGCAGAAGGATGTGGACTTTGCGGAAGTTTTTTCACCCGTTGGTAAATATGCTAGTTTTCGTGCGTTGCTCGCTGTTGTGGCGGATCGAGATCTCGAGCTTCATCAGCTCGACATCAAAACCGCTTTCTTGAATGGTGTTCTGGAGGAGGATGTATACACTGAACAACCCCCGGGATATGAGCAAGGGAGCGCTAACATTGCTTGTCACCTAAGGCGTTCACTGTACGGCCTGCGACAGGCTCCGCCCACCTGGTATGCACGTCTTCGGTCGGTGTTGGAGCAGATGGGGTTTAAGCCCTCCACTGCGGATCCTGGTTTGTTCATCAAGACGGAGAAGGGTGAGCCCATCTATATTTTGGTATATGTCGATGACCTTCTTATTGCTTGCAAATCGGTTTCTTTGGTTGAACTTATTAAAGAGCAATTGTGTAGCGTGTTTGATATGCGTGATTTAGGGGAAGCCAAGTTTTATCTGGGCTTTGAAATCCATCGTGACAGGGAGGCGCGTACTATTCGTATCTCACAGAAGGTTGCGGAGGTCCTTTCCAAGTTCGCCATGGAGGATTCGAATAAACGTTCTACTCCTATGGATGCTAACGTGCGATTATTGTCCGATGGAGATGCACTTGATGTGTCACGTTTTCCTTATAGCGAGTTGGTGGGTAGTCTGCTTTATCTGTCAGTTTGTTCGCGTCCGGATATCTCTTTCGCCGTGGGAATTTTAGCCCGCCACATGTCTAAACCTACTGTGGCGCACTGGAGTGCAGCAAAGGGAGTCCTCAGATATCTGGCTGGCACTCAGGACGTAGGTATTTCTTTTGGAGGCAACTTGGATATTGTGGGCTTTTGCGATTCGGACTTGGCTGGGTCCAAAGGACGGCGTTCGACAACAGGGTTTGTTTTCCTGCTTGGAGGTGGAGCCATCTCCTGGTCTTCAAAGATCCAACCGACCGTCGCCACATCAACCGCGGAGGCCGAATACATGGCGGCGGCTTCTACAATTAAAGAGGCACTTTGGTTACGACATCTTCTTCTTGATCTCGGTGTACGAACTGGTGCTTTGCCCATCAAGTGTGACAGCAGCACGTGCATCGCGATGCTTGAAAGTCCTATTTCGTCTGCATGTACGAAGCACATTGACGTGTGTCATCATTTTGCACGCGAGCGGGTAGAACGTGGTGAAGTCAGGATGGGTAAGTGCTGCACAAATGAGCAGCTGGCCGACGTTTTTACCAAAGCGTTGCCAAAGGAAAAGTTTAAGTTCTGTGTGGACGGGATAGGTCTGGAGTAGTTCATTACTCCTGTCCTACAGGGTTTTATTTTTCACTTCAGTCAACACCGCTGTGCTTATGAAATAGCTGAGTAGTTACTTGTTGTACGGAAGTTTGTCCGCGGGGGAGTGTTGTAATTCCGGTCAGACTTCCTAGGCTTTTATAGCTTATGGTCACAAGGTGTGATTCCTAGTTGGGTCTTATCGTACGAACTTGATCTATTGGTACTATTTGTACCCTGAGGCAAGACTTCTTTATCAAGCTGATTGTAACAACTATTGCTCATTGGGACTTTGGAGCGTCCTTCGAGTTAAGGCATAGTGTCAGCTCGCTTATCCAGCTCGTGCTTAACTGGATCTTGTGTCAGCTATTTCTAGCTATTTACGAATAGTCACAACATGAGCTTGACAAGTATGTGCGTAAGATTCACGGGCGGGCGAAATTCGATCGGGAGCTGAAGCGGCTTGAATATCATGCCCAAAATGTGAAGCCCATTGGCGAGCCGCGGAACAAAGGGTCTGACCTTTTCAAAAGCCAGGAGTGCTGGTGGGATAAACATTATGCGTGTGGAAAATCGCATGCAGGAGTGCATGCAGGAGTGCACAGAATCATTGAGCTGCTTTAATACTGGCTGCTGAGAGAAAATAATACAATACTTCAACAATAAAACAATAATACAAACAATAATAGATAGGGACAGTCGGAAAAAAAAGGGTTGCTTTAACTGATGAGCTGCTGAAATTTAGATATAATGAATGATGGCTTGGAACAGCTTTTTGGAACAGCCGATATCGACACCAGCGTTTTGGGTGATATGCTGATCCTTACAAGGACTGCTTGTAGCATGCTCGGATGAATGCTCGATAGCGTGCGGATAGCGTGCGAGTTTACCTATCATGACGCCGCACCCTGCAGCCCCCAACAACTACCAATGTGCCGATGCCCACCCTACAGCCTCTTGAAATGCTCACCAGCAGCACTGTTCACGATATCTCAAACATGTACAAACTACACCGTCACGGGACAGTCGAGCCGGAGTCTTAGCTCAGGTCAAGCCTGGGCTAGCACAACCAACTCACCGGCTCCAGCCGCGCTCCCCGCACCGAGGCCAGCCGCCGAGGCTGCAGGACATGGGAGCGGTCGGGGGACCCGTGTAGATTACGAGTTGTTTCAAGCTTCAGGCACGAGAACCCTCCCACTCAGCCAGCGACGCAGAGCCTCCCGACACACCAATCAAGCCTTCTCAGCTCCCAGTGCATGACCTACTTTTACGGATAAGCACATCCACGAGCTTCAGCTGTTTGGCCGCTGTGCTACCGCGAATTAGCACACGTTCCAGATTCGTGGCCTTGCTCAATGCTTCTGCAGCGGCCAGCTGCCACACCTCGTCCTTATTGAATGCTTCTGAAAGATCTACAATCAGCTTGGCATCCTGGGCCTCCTGGTCCATGGCTTGCGCTTGTGGCGCGCTAGGCGACACGGTAAAGTAGCGCAACCGATGCAAGGGCTGCTGAGCTCCGAGGTCCAACTACTGTTTAAGATCACTAGGTAGCTCGGAAACACCTACTGGTTTCCCTGGAAAGGATAGGCCGTTTCCAAGGGAAAAGACCCTTTTCACGGAAACGCGCTTTCCGTACTTACATCGATTCCGAACTTCGCGTTCTTTCAGCTGAGCGGTCTTCTTACTTGTGTAAACTTTGAAAACATATATAGGGTTCATTTCCCTTCGATATCTGTTAACAATGGCGATCCGCTTTATCGAGGAGCTGATTCATCTTACCCAAGGCATTCCAGAAATCCACAACTGGAGCCTAGCAACCTTCTACTCAGTATTGGTCGCAATTATGTCCCTACTTGCATTCCTGAAGCCGAACATCTTTGGCAAGAAAGCCAACTCGGACGGCCGCACCACCGCACTTCCTGTCATAGCGACCGCGACTGGAACTAGTGTTAGCGCCGTTACAAAGCTGTTTGACAGCCTGCGTGGCAATGAACATGGGGTGTCTCCCATAGCCGACATGTGCATGGAGGCGGAGCAAGCCCTGACCCAACTCGACAACAACGCTTTGCACAGCACGGGCCAGATAGCTACTGTCCGCCTTGAGTACCCCGGTGATATATGTATCAACCCCAAGTGTGCTGGTCACGGGCGCGCCACCCTCAGCAAGGGTGGCCGCGACAAAACACGCGTGCAAGTAGTTGATATGAGAGGCATCAAATGGGGCATTCAGATTCGTAAAACTAAGTACGCCTGCTATGTTAAGATGTTCCGAGAATCAAAGCATCCAAAGAAATGCCTCTTAAGGTTGCATGTCTGTGGTCTCTGCACATCCACAGGAGCTCAAATCCTGCAAGGAGTGCAATGCTACATACTGCCCGACTTACTACTCCTATGAAGGCAGCGACTATTACTTCACGGGGCCTGGCTTCTCTATTGACGATCACCCGTTCATATGCACCCACTCCAACACGTACCACTTGCTTGAGACCCTGTACTGGTTTCATAAGTGTAAGTACCACTTCAAAGCGTCCGACAAGAGCATCACCGACATGTACAACGATGTCTACGTTCCCCTTGGCGTGTCCGACCTGTCCCTCCCCGAGAATGGCCAGAAAGTCGGGAGGCCTGGACGTTATATCGAATACTTGTGTGCTGCCTTGCCCGTGCGGAGATCTACATTTATACACCCAACCGAGACATCGAAGGGGGTGCTGGGCACAAGGAGCAGGTGCATGCCGAGGTAGAGCTGGTCGTACAGCATGGCCTCCCACATCACCAACACGAATGTCAGAGTGTTGGGTGTGGTGGTGCCGTGACTATCTACCAGCAAGGCCTTGGCAACAACCAACCGCTTGGTAGGGAGCAGGGCACAGGATTACCAACCTCAGGGGAGGTTTCACTGATACTGAGATTGATAAGGCCTCTGCTTCCCGTGTGTGCCCTTTACTGTAACTTACATGCCGTGCCTCACAAGTCGTACCCTTAATATAGCGTATGTGTCCCCACTGCCTGTTTATCAGGCGAGGCTGTTGAGGTAAACCCTTGCATGGTCGTGATGGACACCAACACCAACCTGAAGAGGCACATCTGTGCAGCGCACAACTGCATGGGTCGCCCTGTGCATAGCAAGGCACGCTTTTGTGCGGTCCACGCAAACCTTGAAGGGGTTTGTGCAGCACTTTTGCGGAAGGGTGAACAGGGTCGTGAGCCTGAGTACTGCATGAACGCCTGCATTCCGACCCCGGGGAGTCCCCAGACGCTTTCAAAGTTTTGTGGCCGTCACCAGGACATTGCCCAGCAAGTCGCCAATGTTGGCTATCATCGCCGGGTGGCGGGGCGGGTTCGATTGGGGGGCGGCAGCTCTGATGAAACAGTGGCGCCTGAGGAAGAGTTTATCGCAAAGGTCTCCAGTCACAGGTTAGTCCGGGGCGATGTGTTGACTGATTCGGGTTTTAGGGTTACTAGCAAGTTAGAGGGAATGGATGGGTGCTCACTGCATACCGCACCAGGACTCTTCCCCATGGTGTGCATGCACACCTCTGGCAGAATGATAATTCAACTGAATGTGCTGTTCCGTATAGTACAATCCCAGGCATGCGAGGCGCTACATGTACGGGACTATGATTATGACATGCAGCTGTGGCGTCGTGACGGTGTACGGCTCGTGCCGTCATGGGGAAAGGGTCCTGCCTGTCATCGAGATGCTAAATCGGTTGTTCCCCGACGAGGTGTGCCCAGACAATATTGTGTACGACCGTGGTTGCTTTGCCCGAGCATACATGCATAACCCCGACAACAGAGATCGGCTCGTTGAGGTCCTGGGTTCTGAGGCCGCACTCGAGAAGTGGAAGGAAGTGGGCTTCTACGTGGATCGCTTCCACTTTATGGGACACAGTAAATCCGACCAGGCTTGCAGGTAACTTGTGCACGAGTGTTACCCGAACTGACTGCTCATTAGCTGAAAAGGATGGTGATTTGGATTGCAGGGACAACTGCAACCCCTACAGCATCCACGCGCCTTTCTTGACGTGCGTGCTTAGCAAGACGCGCATCAGGGACATTGCTCAGGACGAGCGACCACAGGTCCTGAGTGCAGCAAGGCTGGCCCAGTCGATCGATCCCGAGGGTCACGTTGGCATCAAGTGCAAATTCGAGGTGGGATCTGCAGTGGGGTGTGGCCGCGGGTGGGCAGCTGCGGGAGGGAGCAGCGGGAAAGGCTGTGGGCTGTGCTGGGTGCATGCGGGGAACACGCGCGGGGGGAAGTGGGCGGGGATTAAGCTGGCGGGGGGGAAGCGGGCAGGGGTTAAGCTGGCGGGAGGAAGTGGGCGGGGGTTAAGCTGGCCAGCGATGGGTGGGGCATGTGGGAGTAGGAGGAGGGGGTGGGGGGGACAAGGAAGGGCGGGTTAGCCGTCCAGGGCAAGCTAACGCATGGCTGGGCAGCAAGGCGGTTGTCCCTTGGTTGTCCCCTGCGCAGTTCCAAGGGAAGGAAGTGAAGGGCCGGATGCTTTTCAAGTACGAGGGCGTGCAGGGTGCAGATGGGCAGCTGTGGTTGTACAAGCTCACAGACCTGTTCAACACCGAGGTTTGCAAGCAGACGTTCACAATGATTGAGATGTTTGGCAATGTGATGCGCACTGTGGAGACCAGGAGGGCGGAGTTTTATTTCCAGGAAATGCTTACGGAGCACAACAACATGGTAACGGCTCGCTTAGAGAGGCTGGGATTAATGCCGTCAGTTCCACCTGACCCATGGGTCGATCACTCGGTTGCTATCACGGTGAAGAAGTCCGTACCCCTGCCTACGTTCCAGGCGTTGGGCACAGTGAAGCGCTGGTGGCAGCGGCGTTAAGAGGGTTCCATGGGGCTGTGCAGGGGGTTGCAATGAGATCCAGGGGGGACATTTTTCATAATACTTTTATAGCTTCTGATCTGTAACATCCAGCGATGGCAGACAATGAGTCGTCAGGAGGTAACCAAGGGCCTCCTAATCCACTGCCCTCCAAGAAGCACGAGAAAATAACGAAAATAACGATTTGGCGATAAGAAAGGTTGTCAAATTCACACCGCTGACCAACGGACAATAACAGCGGCAGCTAGCAGCTGATCTGGTAAAGAGAGCTCGTATCAACCAGCAGCTGAGTCCGAGATCGCCCGGAAGATAATTCGACAAGACTAAACACCACCGATCAAATAGCAGCAAAATAACAACCAACTAACTGCACCGTATGACGCCGCTCTGACGCCCCTCTTCAAACCACATTTTCGGCTACGCCTAAAATAAGATTTTGAATCCGGGCTGAGCAGCTAGCCAGACCAAGAACCGGGACGAGAAACCCATAACGTGTTCGTTACAGTAGGTTACTTTGGCCCCATGCCTAACCCAGCAAAACATCCCCCCTCACCCAGTCGCGTCACATTCGCTCCACCACTGTCCGCCTCACAGCAACGGACCAGCGGATGTAGACCAGCACCGCATCAGACCTCCACCGCCTGTGCACCTTAATCTCCTCCAGACCCACCCCAGCATTGGCAGCCGCGGTGGACCCCCCCTTGTGCAAGCTGTGGGCCGATATCCTAGCGAGATCTAGCCTCAACTCTGGCTCATACCCCTGCAACTCACCCCGCGCCGCCACGCCATGCCCTGATTGCCCGGCCCCATGATTTCCCGTACAAAGAGAGGGGAGTGATCCTCGGCCGTCCGCACGCACTCCAGGTGCCGCTGTACTATGCGAGCGATGCGGATGCCGCTCTGGGTGATTGCTGCCGTCTTGCTATGTACGATCTGCAGCCCCACACCCCCTCCTGGCAACTCCGCCACCGTGTCCCTCCCATGCACACCCCTCCCATGCGTGTGGACGCCAGCTATCTCTCTCATTTGGCGGCACCAAAGCGCTGCCCTCCCTCCCACGTGCCCCCCTACCGCTATCTCTCCACAAGCATTCTCTCTCGGATGGGGTTTTGCTGACATGCCCCAGTGCCGAAGCGCTGCCATGTCACGACCCACGGTGCCGACGAGTCCCATCACACTGTGATGCCCCACTCGGCGGTGCAGCAGCCCACTTCACCTCTGCAAGCGTCAATGCTCATCCTCCACGTCGCACCGACTGCTACAAGAGGCCCCTTCATCTGCAACATCAGATTCCTGCGGGCCTCGTACTCCGCCCTGTGCTGAGTAAGGTGCACCTGGATCTCCACCACTGTGCGGAACTTGTGTAGCATGAGTAGGGTGTCTGGCATCCACATCGACTGCAGGAAGGACGGGACGGCTCCAAGCAGGTTGTCGGGGCCCAAAAGCTCCCCCAGGAAGTCGTGCAGCTGCGGATGTGCACGACAACAAGTGATGGTCAGTGAATTACCGTCATACAGTAAGGACTGCTTTACCAAATCTCACTCTGCCTCAATCGGTTTGAAACTGCTTGCCTTGTCGATCTGCATGATGGTTCCATCGGGCTTTTTTGAGCCGGCCTCCACAACCTTTGAGATGCTGTCGAAGTTCATGACTGGTCGGTAGGACTCCGCACCGGCCTTGCTTTTGCCCTTGCTTTTACAGACCCGCCATCCCACAGCGTGGCACAGCGGTGCGGGAAACCCGCCTGCTGACCGACTTCACGAGAAGCAGGCCAGTCATGATGTTGTACTTATTCTTTGACGACCAAGGGTATTTGGTGCAGAGTGGGCCCTTGATGTAATCGTGCCACCTCGCGGGGTGCACCTTCTCAGCGTCGGCACCCAATACTGGGACGCACAGGAATTCCAGGAGTCACGAGCCCAAAATGCCAAGGGCCAGCACCTGCAGAGAGTATGCGATAGACGGAGACGGGATGGGTCATACATGCTGAGCCCTCCAATAACAATTCACCATTCCAGCACCATCACCCACGGCCGCCACCTTCCCTAGGTACAAACACAACAATCGAAGGCCTACTGTCATCCCATCACAATCCCCCGTGAAATTCCGGCCACTCACTGGTAGGTGTATGAGGGTTTTCGTCTCCTTCTTGGTGATGTCGTAGTCTGCCTTTGGCAGCCCCTCTCGATCGACATAGCTGCTGAACGTGGCGTACAATTCTTCAGTGAGTTTGTACAGGCCCCAGTAGAATGGTGCATGTTTCTCCACCACGTAATCAGGCCCCACAATCACCGGATGGGGATAATTTACGGTGCCGCCTTGGACACCCGGCACATCCACTTTTGGCAATGGCAGCTTTTCGAACTGAGGTAGAGGGTCGTCACCGTCGTCGTCGTAGTCCATAAATACATCCACAGCGGCTGCGTCGCCATCAATAGGACCTCCTTCCACATCACCGTCTCCCTCATGCAAGCCCTGTTGCTGATGCTGACCGCCTCCACCATAGGCCCCGCCGCTGCCACCACCACGAGGCTGCTGCTCCAAACCGCCGCCAGACGAGCCGGCAGCGCTGTAGGCCTTGTGTAATATAATGGAGCATACAGCGAGCATTGGCGGGGAGGTCAGCACTCGGATGAGATGCCCTTCAGACAATACGTGAAGGTCGAGCCGCTTTATCTGGCCCAGACGAGGGTGAATTTCGGTGTCAGTGGTGGTGTAGACAATGTCAGCACATAACTCATTGTCATTGTCTTCTGAGACAAACGCGTCACCATCGTCTGCTGCCTGAATCTGATCCTGGCTAACAGCGACTTCACCAGTTGAAAACAGGTTCTTCAGCTGGCTATCAACCACTGCACATGAGGTCAGCTTTTGTACCCAGCCAAACTCGGAGAAATGGACAAATGCCGTGGGGTGCAGCAGATGACCAGGGAGCTGCGACTTGACCACCGGAACTGGGCGCGGGAGGGGGATGATGAATAACGACCATGACCTTGGCTGTCGAGTATCGAGCCAAGGTCATCGAGGAAGCTGTCACCGACCTCGCTTGCATTGTAGCCAGGCGGCTGGGTGTCATCGTTGGCTGTGCCGCCATGGAAGGGCAGGGGAGGTAGCGGCGCCACGGTCGCGGTCGCCTCCCTGCACGCCGTTGGCGCTGTCGGGGCTTGGCTGCACACGCTGGATGCCGCCGGCTGCAGCAGCGCCGTCGCTGGGCTGCTGGGGCTGCTGCCGTCCCCTGATGCCGCCGCTGTGGCCAAGGGGCCGGGCATCGTCATTTGCTACACCACCATGGCGGAGCTGCGTGCATGGAAGGGCAGGGGAGGTGGCGGCACTGCGGTCGTGGTCGCCTCCCTGCACACCGTTGGCGCCGCCGGGGATTGGCTGCACGCACTGGATGCCGCCGGCTGCGGTGGCACTGTCGCTGGGCTGCTGGGGCTGCTGCCGTCCCCCGATGCCGCCACTGTGGCCAAGGGGCCGGGCATCATTGTTTGCTGCACGGAACGGTGTCCACAACTTCACACGGGTTCCGGACCGTGGTGCCTCTCGACCAGCGCTGGACTCGGAGTGTTGATTGTTCGATTGACGCAGGGCTGTATCCGAAAAGGGGAGAACCCTGGTCAGTAACTGCAGCTGTCCACTTGAATTTTTAAAGCGCGTCGCACCTGATCTGCGCCCACTGTCGAAATCTGATGCCAACTCGTCGTCATGTGCACCTGGCATGATGTCTTGGGTCGCGGAATCAGCAGTAGATGCAGCTGTGACTGCAAAGGGATGAGTTGGGAAATGTTAAACTTTCGGGTTAACACCCCGCCTCCGGTCATCAAACATGGCAAACGTGAGGAACAGCACTTGCCCTTGCGTGTCAGGGAGCCAGCTGGCCTTGCTTGCTGCTGCTGGCTCTAGGCAAACGCAGATTCAAGCTCTTGAACTTCATCCACCTCCTGAGCAGCTGACAACGGCTCCAGTGGTAATGTGGATCGTCCAGACGAACTAGCAGTCCTAGTCTGCATTGAATGTGTCGGCTGAGGGGCACGGTGGCCCTCGGTGGCCCATGTCCAGGGGGGCTTTGACCCCCTGTGCAGGTGGCTCCTGTCCATTCTATTGGTGCGTTGTTGACGTGTGCTAGCAAATAATAATCAGTTGTAGCGAATTCATCGCAGGTAGTGTCGCAAATAGACTGTAGGGAAGGGAACTCAATTGCAAAGTTGACGAAGGCGCGATGGCGCGATGACGACGAAGACGATGGCGACGACGATGAAGGGCTCGGCGAGGAGGATCACCTAGGCTCTGATACCAATTGAAAGGGAACCAGGCCGCTCCTAACAACTGGGAAGTGCAAGCTGACTTTACTGGCCGATATACTTGCGTAAGCACAGAAGATCGGGCTTTCAATTTCAACTTAGACTTACAATCTTCATGAAATGGTCCGCTTAAATAGTCATATTAGCGCGCCATAACCTCACACAGCCATACGACATGGTCTCAGAAGCGCGCGCTAACGAACTGCAAGACCTTACAGATTGGGTATTCCATGGATACTAAGTCAATAGGAGATGCTCGGAAAGCAGTTTCCAATAATTGTTGGCTTCAAATTTGATGTGAAAAGAGTTTTCCGTACTACGAGGGCTTTTCCGTAGAAAGGGCATTTCCCTGGAAACGACGCTGTTTCCTGGGAAACAGATAGGTGTTTCCGAGCTATGCACTCTTTAAGATCTATAGTTGTGAGCCTCCTTTCTGCTGACCGCTCGTTCGTGCGTTGTGGTGTTGGATGCGAGAGTGCTGAAGCACAACAAGGTCTGAAGGACGGCTACACGCTGTATGCTGAGGCAGGGTTTACGTTTGACCGAAGTTTAAGAGAGGTCAAGTTCTTGGGCTCAGTCCAGCCATGTGCAAATGTCGCCCGCGATGGGGACGGCGTCAGTCCCAAAAAAAATTGCGGATTTCTGAACCTCAACACATTTGATGCGTATTATGGCTGCTTGCATAACAAGTTGCGGGATGCGAGGCGAAGTGCACTCTTGCGTATTTCTGAAGTCGCAAGTTGCCAACTAACTCCAGGGTGGGGCTCACTTCGAGTCAGGGCCCCCCGGGCGTCTTGCAGTTGCAAGGCGCAACCCCGCCCGGCCGTCAGGGCGATGGATTCAGGGCGATGGATTCAGGGCGATGGATTCAGCATGACCTGGATCCACTTCGCCTTGCACTTTTTGATACAGGGCGATGGGTGACGTACAACAAAGGTCACACTTGGCAAGAGAACATAAGCCGCCCAACTGGAGAATGACAAGTATCCTATAATGAGTAAAATGATTGGAATGTAATGGCGAGAAGGTGACATAGGTCATGATCAGATGACGTCCCAGTACCTTATTAAGGTGCTGTTCACGGATGACCGGCCCTATTTGCCTATTACTAGGAGGAGGCGATTTCCACGATGGTGTTGTATTTTGGAAATCTGTTTGCATGATTTTGAAGGGTTTATAATTCTGTAATATTGCAGTGCATTCGGTCCTGCAGGCGGGCCGTATTCTTGCAGTTCTGTGACGCGGCCTGTGGTCAAACATGAAGCACCCAAGCATGCCAGATGTAGCAAATTTGCATTGGATTTGAGGTCTACATAATCCTGGGTAATGTTAAAATTATTTTGGTGCAACGGCCAACGTCTTTTTATGAAATGCGTTCGGACTGCGGGAAGTTGCGAGGCCCGCAGCTGGAACTTTGTGGAACGCGAGCATGAAAACAAGATATTGTTGTTACAAAGGCACTGCAATTTCGCTCTGTGACTCGACCAACGGTATTCGCACACGTGCGTGTGCGCGTGCGTGTGCAGCCGTGTGCCAGAGCGCGAGTAGGGCCCCTCACGTTCGACCTGCTCCTTATACCCATGACACCCCCCACGCAACGTCTTGTGGGACGTGCTCACGATCATCACCATACATCCGTATGTCAAAAAACTTACTGCTGGTAGCAAATGCTCAACGGAAACCCAGCACCGTACATCTGCGGTGACACAGCACCCCAACTCAAAGTGAAGCAAGGAAGAACATAGTATTGTGTAACACAGCAAAGCCAAACGTTTTGGACAGCATATTTGTACGGAGATCTTTTCTGGTCCGTTGCCTCTGCTATGCAGGGGAGCGCCTGCGAAACATGCCGCACATGCGGAGCACACAAGGCCACAACAATACGGAAAGGGCAAAAGGCTTGAATCTAAATGCTAACTCCTGGAGCAACAACCGTTCTCATGACACGTCCATTCGCACTCGATCTAAATGCTGTCATTAAGCAGAATGTTTCATAACATCATCTTAGGAAAGCTGCGAAGCGCTGACTTCTGAACATTCTGGACTTATGTTACATCCATGAAGCTAAAATGACTGTTTGCAGGCAGTGTTTGTTTTCGTTTAGGGCTGGTCCCTTTTTATTACTCATCAAGTATTAGATTTTCAGGGTGTTGTGTGCTTTATTACTTAGCTGTAAGGCACTGGGGGCCTCCGCCCCCTCCAGAACCCCCGATAAGTTGCAAGTCCCCTCACAAACTCAGAGCCACGCGCAGATTGGGCCTTCGGCTCGTATGGGTAGTTTTACAGGTATGGGGTCACGCACCCCCCAACCATGTAACACACACACGCACACACACACACACACACACACACACACACACACACACACACACACACACACACACACACACACACACACACACACACACACACACACACACACACACACACACACACACACACACACGCGCGCGCGCGCGCGCGCAGATGGTGCGGTTCTCAGTGTCATTCATTCCTGCGGGAGATAGTGTGTGTGTCCAATTCCAGATGGGAATACTGGTCAGCCCCGGTGCACAGGCATGCCATGTTGTAGTGCTCGTTGATACACGGCGCATACCATGTGGGACAGGACAGTGCTAGTTATCCGTTTGCGTGTTGCTCCAGGAGTTAGCATTTAGGTTCAAGCCTTTTGCCCTTTCCGTATTGTTGTGGCCTTGTGTGCTCCGCATGTGCGGCATGTTTCGCAGGCGCTCTCCTGCATAGCAGATGCAACGGACCAGAAAACATCTCCGTACAAATATGCTGTCCAAAACGTTTGGCTTTGCTGTGTTACACAATACTATGTTCTTCCTTGCTTCACTTTGAGTTGGGGTGCTGTGTCACCGCAGATGTACAGTGCTGGGTTTCCGTTGAGCATTTGCTACCAGCAGTAAGTTTTTTGACATACGGATGTATGGTGATGATCGTGAGCACGTCCCACAAGACGTTGCGTGGGGGGTGTCATGGGTATAAGGAGCAGGTCGAACGTGAGGGGCCCTACTCGCGCTCTGGCACACGGCTGCACACGCACGCGCACACGCACGTGTGCGAATACCGTTGGTCGAGTCACAGAGCGAAATTGCAGTGCCTTTGTAACAACAATATCTTGTTTTCATGCTCGCGTTCCACAAAGTTCCAGCTGCGGGCCTCGCAACTTCCCGCAGTCCGAACGCATTTCATAAAAAGACGTTGGCCGTTGCACCAAAATAATTTTAACATTACCCAGGATTATGTAGACCTCAAATCCAATGCAAATTTGCTACATCTGGTGCTTCATGTTTGACCACAGGCCGCGTCACAGAACTGCAAGAATACGGCCCGCCTGCAGGACCGAATGCACTGCAATATTACAGAATTATAAACCCTTCAAAATCATGCAAACAGATTTCCAAAATACAACACCATCGTGGAAATCGCCTCCTCCTAGTAATAGGCAAATAGGGCCGGTCATCCGTGAACAGCACCTTATGTCCTATAGCCTTCATGGCTTGCTGTACGGTTGCGTTCGGGGTGCCGGATAGGACAGGGCGAGGCGAAACCGGGGCTGCCAAGGGCCTTACACTACTGCAGACAGAAAAGATAGCAGGAGGGGCCCTCTGACTCAGGCGAGGCCCAGGTTGCGCGTGGTTTCCAGTGCGGCATCGTCTTCCAGCCGGGTATATAGCTGTACCATTGCGTCCGTCTTCCAGTGACCGTGGGCCTTGCGGGCTTCTTCAGATACCCCTCTGGCTGCTGCCGCGCTGTTTCCCCCGATGCGCATGGAGTGTGGCATGATGCCGCGCTTGATGCCCACGGCGCTGCACATGGCAGCGAGCTTCTCCCTGAAGGAGGTATAGCTGAGGCTGGGGATCGGTGACTGAACAGAGCCGGTCCTCTGCTGCAGCTGGTGGCCTTGCTGTGTCGCCTTAACCCTGCGCAGCAGCGGGCCCACATCCTCCACGGGGGAACTGGGGACACGGACATAGTTACCAAGCGCCAGCAGCCTCTCTGTCAAGCCCACTGGGCAGGCCACGCCCCCCACGCGCGCGATCCGGATGGTCTGCCCTTTGCCCTCCTGGTCCGTTTTGGACCTAGGCAGTGTGATGGCCATGTGAGTGTCGTGCAGGGTGAGCAGATCAGACTTGACGGAGATGTGGGCTAGGTCGTTGAACCTTAGGAAACCCGCGAACATAACCGATATGGCCGCTACCATCATCAGGTCTGGCAGTGAGGCATCCGGCCCAGCGAAGTGAGCGGCCAACATGCGGACATGCTCTGGTTGCATGCTTTCCCTGTGCAGCTTCTTCCCTTGCAGTGTGCGCCTGCCCAGGTCCCGAACGAGGTTGCATGCTGGGTGCTCCGTAGGTGAGGGGCGGCCCGCGAGAAAAAAATGGCAGGCAATAGCAGCGCTCGCTCCCGCGACACGACCCGGATTTACTTCATCTGCTTGCGCGGTTTGGTAGACGTGCATCAGGTACATGGCCACTATCTCTGGCCTGATGTCGTAAATGTCGCTCGCCCGAATGTGTAGTAGCTCTGCCCAATCTAGGAACTCCTGCCATGGCTCCTTGTACTGGGCGACTGTGCTGCTAGCTCGCGCCTTGTGCGCCTGGCTTGCCAACGCCAGAGCTAGATCCCCGATCATTGGGTTAGCGTCCAAGGGCACCTGGCCAAGCAGTGTCTGCACGCGTGCCCTTATTCCTGTGAAAACCGGGGGGCATAAGGGTCGGGGGGCACAGCGATCTGGCGCGGGAAAGGTGTTTGGAAATCGATGAGAAGTGCGAGCGATAGCCAGTTAGCGGACCCTTTTGGGACCTCGTTTCCCGAAGACCCTGGCAGGAAAAGATCATACGCCTTGCCCAGCTCTCTTAGGCCGTGGACGCAAGGCGCAAACCACTTCCCGTCTTGAGTCAGATAGGACCACCAGTCGCGCGTCGGCCAGAGGGGAACGAGACAGATGCGTGCTTTGCACAGCTTTGCACAGCTCTGCGTGCCGCAGGACCTTAAGTAGCAAACAGAAAGGCGGGTTCGCCCAGCAATTCCGCCCCCAGTGGAACCGAAAGGCATCTACACCCGCGGTATCTGGCGTGAAAAAGCGGGAATAGTATTGTGGCAGCTGGTGATTGGTGTGTGACGCGAAAAGATCAATGTCAAAGGGGCCCCAGGCGGTGTTGAGCCTCTGAAATTCCTTACGGTTCACCATCCAGTCGTCCCGGTCCTGCAGCTTTGAGAGGTAGTCCGCCAGAGTGTTTTCTTCTCGCGGCCGCCACTCCGCCTGCAGTGTGATACCCTCGGCAATACAGTACCAAAAGATTTCGCAGGCAATCCGGTACGAGTCCTCGGCTTTTGTGGTCCCTTTGTTGAGGACGTTGGCGCAATTGAGATTGTCAGTAATCACCCGGACGACTTGGTGTCGTAGGCCTGCAGGGCCGTTGAAGGATTGAAGTGCGAGTAGGACTGCCTGGAGCTCCTGGGGCGTTGACCCCATCGAACTGACCCTTACTCCCCAATTACCGCGATCAGCGTCCAGGCACCCCAACCCCCGAGGTGCTTGGGGGATTTCCCAGCTGCATCGCAGAAAACGACCGAGTGCACCTGTGTGGGCTCCCAGAGGGCACGGGTTCCGTTAAACCGGTCGAAACAGTGCAGCCAGAATTCGAGCTCTGCAGTTGCGTCATTAGATAAGCGGATGTGGGTATCCCAGGTGTGGCGCGACTCAATATCCTGCCCCAGAGCCCGGGTGTAAAGGCGGGCTACTTGCCTGAACGCCCAGGACATGGACAGAAGCTGCCCTTTTATGGAGGCCAATTGTCTCGCCTTGATGCGCCGTTTTCCCAGAGCCGAGCAGATGCAGTCGAGCAGGAAAGTGCACTTATCTTCAGGCACAATGTACACGCCCTTAGCTGTATCTAACAGCATACCCAGGTACCTCACTTGCTGCTGGGGCTCGCCCATCATTGACTTGTCACGGTTCACGCAGAACCCCAGGCGCTCAAGGAGGTCGAGGATTATGGTGCGGCGGGCGATGAGGGTCTGGGCGTCCTGGTGGGCGTGGATCTGATCATCAATGTATCCTGAGCACCGCCAGCCCTTCCGTCTCCAAGTCCGCATGATCTCGCGTGTTAGCTTGGTGAATGCCCAACAGGCGGAGGCAAGGCCGAAAGGGAGTTGTGTAAAGATGTAGAACTGGCCTTGCCATTCAAAACCAAGGTAGCGCCAGTCTGCTTCGCGTACGTCCATATGGTGGTAGCCAGACTTCAGGTCCAGGGTGAACATGTAGTCCTTGGGGCCTAGCCAGCCTGGGACCTGCGCAAGCGACTCATAACGGAACTCCGGGATGTGCAGGTGCTTATTGACTTCGCGTCCATCCCAGATGAGGCGGAGCTTGCCTTTCTGCTCTACGACGCCCAAAGGACAGGTCATGAAAGGGCGGGACTGGCAAGGTTTGATGGTCTCTGACTCCAGCAAACCCTCGATGGCAGAAGACACAAAATCCCCGTGGTCCCGTGCAGATTGGTGATTCTTGCCCCAGTACGGCCGGGGGGGGAGGTCCTGAGTGCCACATCAGAGGGAACCCTTGCAGGACCCAGCTCAGCATGAGCTGGTTCACCACTGTCGCCTTCCAGACCGCGGCACAGGCTCTCAAGCGCCCCCGCATCTTAGGCCTATCCTTGCTACCCATGCGAGGAGGTGTGGCTTCACAAGGCGGATCAACAGGCAAAGGTGCTGGGTTCTCACCTTCTGGGACTGCTTGTTCATTCCTCGAAGGGGCTCCTGGGTCTGGATGTGATTCCTGGGCTTGGCGGGCGACCTTGGTCCGGGGCCGGGTGGGCTCTGCAGGGCCGGGTGCGGGACGCTTGGCAGTGTTCTTGGTCTCCACTTGTGTGTTGTCTCGTTGGACAGGGGGGGGCTGCACGGGGCGAGGGGCTCTAAAACCCGCGGCGACGAGCAGTGTGCCCAGTACTGTGGCGGCCAAATTCTCTGCATTGCAAGAGACAAAAGATAAAGGAGGGGGAGATGAGTAGAGGCCGGGGCTCATGGCGACTGAGGCTATGAAACGGTGGGAAGCCGCCCCTCCTGGGATGACAGAAAACCGAACAGGCTACTCAGGGGCGACCTGCGCCGCAGGGGACGGGGCCACCAGAGCCATCAACCTGTTCGATGCCTCTCTGTCGTTGTTGGGTACATGCATGAAGAGGGAAACTCGGACGGAGGAAGGACAGGTCCAGCCTGAAGCCGGCCACCTGGGCCTGGAAGCCGCCATGGTCAACAGGACCGAGCCAACACGGCAATGAGGCCCCAAGGCCAATCACAGGCGCCACCAAGGGCAAGAGCTCGCGCGCGTTACAAAGAAACCTCCCTCCAGGGTACAACTTGGTCCGACATCTTCTAGCGGTGGAAGGTCTGGAAGAGACCGGATGTGCAACTTAGCATAACAAGTCTTGTCAAAGACTGGGCCAAAGCATACTCCGTTCCAACCCAACAATGTTTGTCGGACTTGTGGGCCCCTGCAACAACAACGACCGCGAACTGCATGGAGGGGCCACTGAGCGAGCTTAAGAAAAAAAAAAGGGAGGGGGGTAGGATCGGTGCAGTGCCAGAGTCGAGCAAACACAAGGCCCAACAGGATCCTAATCAGCCACGCTTAGCCGGGCTGCGAGAGCGGCTTCGGTCACGGTGGCTGCACTGGTCATAGCGGTCATAGCGGCTGCAGTCGTTCCGGCGTGCACTACCAAACGAATCCCGCACTCCACCCTGCCGGTCTCTCCCTCGCCAGAGGGACCCGGCCTGACCGTCCCTGTCCGCCACCACCGACTTGCGCGTTTTAGCTAATGCACTCTCTATGTCGCCCTTATCTATGGCCTCTGGTTTGAACTCTGGTTTGGTGAAGTTGTGCCGCCTGCCGTGCCAGATTTCGTAGGGGGCCGTGAAATTACCGTTGGCTCCTGGGCCCGCCTTGGCCAGAGCAACGGAGTAGCACTTAAGGCGGCGGTGAGCGATCTTGAGGCATTCTCCCGCGACGGCCAGCTGGGGTTCGTTCGCATCCAGCGCGGTGATGGCGGTCTCTAGCAGCATTAGCATTCCTTCGTCGAGCTGCTCCCGCTGTCGTGTGGGGCTGTCAGCTTCGGGGCGTCGTTCGCTTGAACTTCAGTCCTTATTGCTGCTAGCTGCTCTCTTGCGGATGGCAGGATGGTCACGTCTTTTGTGATGACTACATCAGGAGAGCGGTCCCGAGGCGGTGCTGTCCGGGGATCCCTGGCTGGCGCTTTTGGGGCGTTGGCCTGCGCTGCTGACAGGACGCCCAGCAGCAGCTGGTGAAGAGTCGGCTGGTCTATGTTCCCGCTCAAAGTATCCCTGGCGGCTTCTATGTCGTTTTGGTTGGCTGGCAGCATCTGGCCCGATCCCCCTTCGCCAGCTGCTTCGGCCGCTCCTGCGTTGACCAGGTTATCTCCCGTTGCCTTTGTCCTCTTACCCATCATTTTTTGATTTGTGACGGAGCTCCTGGTTGTTCCTCGGAGAGTGACGGTCCGCGGCGATGTCGATTCGATGTGGTAGAGCGTCGATGAGGCTTGAGGGTAGTCGGTAAGGTCTTGGAAAAAAGTGAGAGCAACAATAATAATAAGCTCCAATAGTGTAGGCAGAATGCCGGAACTATGGAGCTGTCAGCTGAAATAGTAAATTCGAATTCTCAGCAAGCCATACGGCTGCCGTACATAACCTAGCTTAGAGGCTATACTCGCTTTTTGCTCCTGCCGCATCTAAGCTACAATAAAGTACTCAGTCCGTTGCTGCCACAGCAAGCTGACGTATGGATACGCGGAAAGGTATTGTTCATAATTGACCTGCCCTATTTGCCTTTTGCTAGCAGGAGGCGTTTTCCTACCCACGAACGCCGAACCGGAGTTCCCCACATGCAGTTATCTTCTGCAATGGCACATAAATATGATGATGTATTCTCGTCTTATAACGAGTGAATAAAAAGAGGCTCGCGATACGTCACGTCGGTAAAAAGACGCATGCGACTGGCGAGCATCGTCAACGCTATCCAAGAATGCCGCACAAAGGAAGCTGTCGCTACCCACGTCAAAAAGCATGACGCTGGCATTAAGCCGATACGGTCCCTATGTCCCAAATGGAGAGATAGGGTCATGGGCTTCCAGTACTGTTCACGAATGACCGGCCCTATTTGCGTACAAAGCCATGCAAACAGATTATTCTGGAATTCTGTTAGGGATACTGGCCGCTTTAGGGAGTTTTTAGGGCCATGTGAAGCCGTGTGAAAAGCGCTCAAACCAAATACATTCATGTTTTCTTCACATCCTACGTCGGTTCCACCTGAATTAGAAGGCAGCAGTCGGGTAGCTAATTACATATCGCGTAGGATTGCGGCGTCCGCAGACATCCTTAATGTTGCCTTGAACCGTGATAGGCCTGAGGATTGCGATATAGTGAACGAAGGAGAGCACACGCTTGTAGTTAATCCACCACAGCAGCCTTTCACATTCCGACCTGCTGAGCTTGACGCACCGTATCCCGTTGCAAAGCTCTTTGACAGCGCACACGCTGGTGGGGCCACCAGTACCTGGAAGGGAACCAGGCCGCTCCTAACAACTGGGAAGCGTAAGCTGACTTTACTGGCCGATATACTTGCGTAAGCACAGAAGATCGGGCTTTCAACTTCAACTTAGACTTACAATGTTCATAAAATGGTCCGCTTAAATAGTCATAATAGCGCGCCATTGTCTCACACGGAGAACCACAGGATCAAGCTCCACTAGCTCCGAAGTTTCGACATAGTCTCAGAAGCGCGCGCTAACGAACTGCAAAACCTTACACACTCCCCTCCTTAAAAACAAGCACCGTCCTCGGTGCGAAAACGTCACTAAGCGGCCATAGTCGTGCGCCTCTCCGATTCCCTGAACGAAATCGGTACCAGGCTAACGAGGGGAAGGCAAAAGGGAACCGGAGTCAAGGCAAAACCTTCCCCGCACTGGATACCGGCCTATAATGTGGCGCACGACTCCTACCATATCCGGCTTAAGAATCCGGAGATACGCAAAAGCTGCTACGAAAACGACTTAAATCTGACTACACGGAACCCAAATACCCAGACGCGAACACACACGTGAAATGCAATACCACACTACGTTGAACTGACTGGTGTAATCTACGGACAGGAACAGAACGAAGACGCACAGATATACCGAATACACATGATGACACACACACACACATCCAGCCGCAGCTCTACTCTGCCAAAAACTGTACGATCCTTGGGGCATGCTCCGGGAACTTGGCTCTGAACCACGCATAGCGATCTGATAGCCTGAACGCGGTCCAGCTTGGGCTCCTCAGGAAGGCACGAAGCGCTGGCAGGTTGTGCACGTCGTCGTATGGTTCCCATGAGGGGTCGCGTTTACTACTAGCGGACCACTGCACGAGGAACATGACGGACGGGCGTGCGCGCTTGTTATACCCTAGGCGAACAGCTGTAACAACAGTATCTGCACTGTCATATGGGGATTCTAGTGCAGTAGGGGCTGCAGGGGGAGGTGGTGGGCGGCCGGGGAAGAGCGCTGGGTCGTTGTCCGTCCATGGAAGGAGGCGGCTGATGTGGAATACTGGATGCAAGCGGCCGAGGGAGGCTGGAAGGTGAAGGCGGTATGCAACTGGAGAAATGACGGAGGAGATGAGGAAAGGGCCGAGGTAGCGAGGGCGGAGTTTTGGGGAGGGGTAGGTCGGCAGGGTGAGGTGTTCTGTAGACAGTCGGACGCGATCGCCAACTTTGAAGGTGATGGCGCGGCGATGCTGGTTAGCTGCGGCAGCATAGCGGGTTTTGGCGGCTTGGATTTCGCGGTTGATGGTGGCATGGATGTCGCTCATACGCTGCTGCAGTTCTGTAGCCTGCGGGTGAGAGGGAGGTGAAGCGGCTTGGGGGCCGTGGAGGGAGATGGGAGTGCGCGGGTGGTAACCGTGATTGGCGTAGAATGGTGTCATGCCGGTGCTTGCGTGGGTGGCGTTGTTGTATGCTGCTTCGGCGATCGGAAGGTATGATGCCCAGTTGTCCTGCATAGGTTGAATGTAAGCGCGGAGGATCTGTTCAATAGTGCGATGTGTTCTCTCGGTTTGACCGTCAGTTTGTGGGTGATAGGCGGAGGAGATGTTTAGGGACGTGCCAAGGTGCTCCCAGAAGGTGCGCCAGACGTCGGACATGAAGCGGGAATCTCGGTCTGAGACGAGGGTTGTTGGAAGACCGTGTAGACGGTAGATGTGGGTGAGGAAGAGTAGGGCGGTGTCGTGAGCGGTGGTGGTCTTGTTAGTGAGGGCAAAGTGGGCTTGCTTGGTGAACATATCGACGAAGGTGAGGATTGCGGTGTAGGTGCGGCCGTCTAAACCTTTAGAGGGCGGCAGGTCGGTGATGAAGTCCAGAGACACGTGTGTCCAGGGTTGCGTGGGAGTGGGTAGCGGGTGGAGGAGGCCAGGCGGAGGCTGGGTGGATGGCTTGGTGCGTTGACAGATGGGGCAGGACTTGACGTAGGCTTTGACGGTGCGGGCCATGTAAGGCCACCAGTAGCGGGTTGATATCGCGGCGAGGGTGCGACGAAAACCAGGATGACCAGAGTAAGCAGCATCATGGAATTCGTGAAGTAGGCGGCGGTGTAAGGATGGGACGTTAGGGATGGTGATGCGGTTGGCGAAGTAGAAGAAACCGTCTGGGGAACGTTGGAGGTAGGGCTTGGTGGTTGTTGAATTGGAGTACATGGGGTCGGTGGTGTATCCGAAACGGGGGTCATCTGCGAGGCTGGGGTCTGGCACGACATGGGCTGCGATGGTGAAACAGGCATGATGAAGGGCATGGTTGGCTGCGACGTCGACGGGTGGTGAAGTGGAGGGCCAAAGCGGGGAAGGTGATGGAGATGTCATGGAGGTTAGGTTTTCTGCTGATGTAGGGGGAAGTGAGGGAGTTGGGTCAGAGGGCTCTGGATTGGGGGCTGGGCTGACCGGGAAGCGGGAAAGGGTGTCGGCCATGTTTTGAGGGCCGGGGCGGTAAGTGATTGTGATGTAGCCTTGAAATGGGGCGAGGAGCTGAGCCCAACGGGCTTGACGACGAGACAGGTCCTTTTGGGTGAAAAAGCGTTGCAAGGTGTCGTGGTCTGTGCAGAGCGTAAAGTGGCAGCCTTCGAGATAGCACCGGAACTTACGCACTGCATGTACGACAGCAAGCAACTCCAGCTCGTGAATGGGGTAGTTGGCTTCGTGACGGCTGAGCTTGCGGGACTCGAATGCCACGGGATGTAGGGCGCTGTTGCGTTCTTGAAGGAGCACAGCGCCGATGCCGAGGATGGAGGCGTCGGTATAAAGGGTGAAGGTGGCGTTGGTGCCGGTGTCTGGGATGATGAGAGCTGGGGCTGACATTAGGGCGTCGCGGAGGGCATGGAAGGCGGCGACGGCGTCGGCGGGTAGGACCTTGGGAAAGGGCTGGGTTGTTTTGGTGAGGGTGGTAAGAGGAAGGGCGATGCGGGCGTAGTCTTTAATGAAGCGGCGGTAGAACCCAGTGAAGCCTAGGAAGGCGCGAACGTCGGTGATGGAGGAAGGAATGGGGAAATTGGCAAGGGCGGTGAGCTTGTCAGGGTCTGTCGTGATGCCGTCGCGGGAGACGATGAATCCGCAGAACTTGGTGGAGGGTTGCGCGAAAGAGCACTTGGAAAAGCGGACATGGAGGTGGTGGTCTTGAAGGGTGCGTAGAACGGCTTCCACGTCGCGGCAATGGTCTTCAAAGGTGCGGGAGTAGATGAGGACGTCGTCGAGGTACACAACCGCACACTTGTTGCGGAAGGGGCGGAGGACGTCGTTCATGAGGGACATGAAGGTGGCGGGGGCTCCTGTAAGTCCGAAGGGAAGAACAAGCCATTCGTACAGACCATACTTACACCGAAAAGCCGTTTTATGCACATCGGGTTCGTGCACACGGACTTGATGGTAGCCTGACCAGAGGTCCAGCTTGGTGAAATAGGCTGCGCCGTGCAGCTGGTCAAGGAGCTCGTCCACACGCGGCAGGGGATACGCATTCTTGACTGTTAGCTGGTTGATTGCACGAAAGTCCACACAGAGGCGTAGACCGTTACCACCAGGTTTACGGGCGAACAGAATAGGGGCACCAAAGGGTGACGTTGACGGGCGAATCCAGCCACGGTCAAGGTAGTTCTTGAGCTGCTTGTCCAGTTCTTGAAGTTCTGCTGGGGACATGCGATACTCGCGCTGCTTAGGAGGCTGGGCGTCAGGGACCAACTCGATGTGGTGGTCGCATGGGCGTGATGGTGGTAGACCCGATGGTTCTTCGAAGATGGTCGCGTAGCGCTGGAGGACAGGCTGAAGGGCTGGTGGTACGGACGGGGAGGTGGTGGGTTGAGGGGGGGCTTCAGGGTCGACTTCGGGATCTTCGATGGGACGGAGGACACCCATGTAAACAGGTGGTGATGGGTTGAATGGAGCTCGCTTGCGAGGGTTGGTGGCGTTGGGTGGTGGCGGTCGGGCGGCAGCTTGGCGAATGCATTTCTGCATGCGGGCGATGGAGACGAATTCAATCTGAAAAGCGGATGGGCAATACGAGGAATGTGGAATGACGGTGTCGCCGATGGTGACGGTGTTGGTACGCCAGTCGATTTGGGGGTTGTTGGTAGTAAGCCAGGGTTTCCCAAGGATGGCGTCGTATCCGTCAAGGTCGAGGGTGAAGAAGGTGGTGCGCTCATGGTGTGATTGGATAGCCAAGGGGGCGTTGGGAAGGGCGGAGGAACAGAGGGCGAGGTGTCCGTTGGCCAAACGAACGCGAAACGACTGCGAAGCTGGAAGGTTGGCGGAGTGTAATTGGTGATGTTGGAGGAAGGAGTGGGCGATGAAGTTGCGGGAAGCACCAGAATCCAGGAGGACTCGGGCGGGGTGGCCAGCTATGGTGGCATCGAAGACGATAAGGGTGGTGGAGAGATTGTCGGTGACGGACGCAATGCGACCTAGGATAGGCGGGATGAAGGGGCGTTCCACCGTAGACCTTTGTTCGTCTATCTGCGGAAGCGAAGCTTGAAGAGCGCGGTGGGGCTG